CACTTGTGTTGCCATTCACATGCACAGAAATGAATGTCTTTGCCCATTCCAGCAAAGAAATTAACTTCTAATCTCTGTGCCTTAAAAATGAATGACTGCTGCAAAACCTAAAATAGAGGACAAGGGCAAAAGCTAGAGGAAAAGACAGGAGCTGTCCAAAGTGATGCAGTGAAGTAGGTAGGGAGGTGAATTGTTTGTAAAAGACGAGGGAGAAATTGTGGTTTTCAGGAGAAGTGGGTCTGGTGGGAGAAGGCTTGGCAAAGGGTAGAAGGCTATTCCAGCAGCAATCACAGAGTGTGGCAGCAAGACAGGCAACTCATTGAGTTTTCCATTACTTCCTGAAGAGTTTAAAAGCAGCACTGGAAGGAAAGGATCAAAGTTAATGTTTCACAAGGGCAACAATCCTTTCTTATTTATCTTCCCCACACATACAGGAAGGCCAAGGAAGGCAGGCATCCTGAAAACCACACTCCAGGAAGCTCTGCTCATTTGCTGTGCATCCTGCCCTCCCCTCCATCCCCAGCCCTTCATCTAATTATACTCTAACATGCCTGCAGACAGATCTTCAGTCCTTGGATTATATCACACCAGATGGCTTTATTCCTCTAAAAGTGATATGCTGCTAAACTGGGATGGAAGGAGGGAGCAAAGAAATAACCAACCCCCTTTCTTATCATTCCAGATTGCTTTGTCTTGCATTTTGTTTGCAGGACATTTCCTTCCCTGGATACACTACTGCTTTTATTTTTATCATGTGAATGCTCCTAAGCAACCTGTGAAATTATTCTCTCCAAACATATATTAAGTGTGGAAAAAAGTTTTTAAAATATGACAATATTGTTTATGTGGCAACCTGCTTCCAAAGGCGTCCCAGCCCACAGCTGAGAAATCTGGTCTATGTAATAGAAAGCACATTACAGAAGGGATCCGCACTGCATCTCCTACACAGTCTGCAACCTGTGAGGAATGAAAGTGGTGCGCTGCTTTATAGCAAAGATGCTACAAAAAAAGATCCTGGGTTGTGCATCACTGCTTAATCAGAATCAGTAACTGTGACAAGAGGAAGTCCATCCCTCTGAAACCACATCCAGCTCTGACAGAGATGCCACATCCTCTAGGAGCAAAATGCCTCATTATCAATTTTCAGTCGCACTGTGAATGACTAATTTGCACAGAGATAGGGTTGCTGCTTGCCAGCTTTCCCCCTGTGTTTTTCTGGTAGCTATGGGACCATCAGAAATGTAGCAAACACAGCTTTTATTGGCATGGAAATACAGCGACAGGGGCAAAAATCCCTCTGCCTGCTAAATTCTACTTATAAACACAGCTGCTAAAAGCAGAGAAGCTTGGGGCAGGGAGGGGGTGCAACTGTAACCCAGAGCTATGCTTGCTATGCTTTTTTGCAGAAGAATATGCATTTGTCTATTTAAGAAAAAATGTTGGGTGCCTAGGAGTACCTATTAATTATTAGTTGTACATCCAACTTCCTCAAAGAATGTTGGTGAATTGTGGCTGCTGTTACACTTTATCTCAGGGGTCCCCAGTATGACACCCTGAGTCTCCCAATTTTATTTTTATTTTTAATTGAGAAGGGGGTTATTTTATTTTTTGGTTGTTTGTAGGCTGTTGCTTGCTCTTTTGTCTGTGTCTTCTTTGTTTTTGGGTATGCAGACATTTTGCCAGCTGAGGAGTGGGCTTCTGAGCATCACTAGTTTTTCTTCTCCAAAATGAGTATTTTGTGGTGCCCACAACAGTTTTTTTTTAGATTTTAAACTGTGTCCCTGGGCCCAAAAAGGCTAGGTACCCCTGCCTCTTACACTAGAAATTTCACCAAGGATCAGGATTCTACTAGTCTAAGTGCTGTATGGTATTGTATTAATTTCTGTCTATACCCAACCATGCATTTTTAGTATAAAGGCTGCCTCAAAGCATGAAGGTGTGTGTGCCTGTTGTCAGTGTCCTAGTGTGGTGCAGTGGTTAGTGTGTTGGACTAGGACCTGGGAGACCAGGGTTCAAATCCCCAAGTAGCCATGATACTCAGTGGGTGCCCTTGGACCACTTAGTCACTCCTAGCCTAACCTCCCTCACCAGGTTGTTGTGAAGATAAAATGGGGAGGAAGAGAATGATGTATGCCACCTTGAGCTCCTTCAGGAAAGGTGGGATGTAAATGTGATAAATAAACAGAGCAGGGTAACAAAATGCAGGACATTCCCCTCCTTAATGCTGGTGCAGAAACCATCTTCTGAGTATTGTTGCAATCAATATATAGTATTGCTTATTATTATTCAAAGGAAAGGCAAATAAAGGCTAGCCAGAGTATGAGGAAAGCCAACACAGGTCACAAAAGGGATTACACAAGCGCAGGCATGCATTTTCCTAGCACAAGACCAAAGTACCGAAGGTTGTCCCATGCCACTTCTAATAAAACTTTGTATTTGTTTTAAGTGTGGTGGATACAAAAGGCACACTTCCAAACTACAAAACATGCATTTATGTGAGAACTCCCTAAACACCATGTGCTTCCTTAATCCTGGTTGCAGCTGGTCTATTAAGATCCTGCAGTTGATACAGCATCAAACAACCTCTGTGCTTTCCCAACCAGCTATAAAGTAAAGGCAGTTACAAAGTTCATCAGGGCTGGTCTGAGACACTTTTGCTGTCTCACGTAGAATAGCAAACGCCAACGCCAACCCCCAAATCAAGTGACATATTACTAAAGGCTTGCCAAGGTTTTTTTTTTTTGGCACCTGAGATGGAAAGTCCCAAATATTTCTCCCTGAGAGTAGAAATGCAATAAAAAAAAATTTAAATAACTAAGAATTTCATTGCCCTTTTGTGACACTCAACTGAGGCTGCTGCTTCATTCTGCCTAATCGCAAGAGAATCTCTAGAAGTGGGTGTTGCTCTTAACTATTCCCTGGTTCCTAACATATTGTTTGACATATAAGAACCCATTTATGGACTTACCCTGTGACAATGATGGCTGCAGAGTTCATATTTTGCCATCACTATTGCATCTGCTCATTGTCACCCAATGGAGCTCTTTAGGGTGATGAAGGGCCTCCAGGGAGTGGACATCCTAAAGCATGGGTATGCAAACTCAGGCCCGGGGGCGAGATCCGGCCCAACTGCCTTCTCAATCCGACCCGCAGTTTTTACATGAGTAGAATATGTCCTTTTATTTAAAATGCATCTCTGGGTTATTTGTGGGGCCTGCCTGGTGTTTTTACATGAGTAGAATGTGCTTTTATTTAAAATGCATCTCTGGGTTATTTGTGGGGCATAGGAATTTGTTCATTTCCCCCCAAAAAATATAGTCCGACCCCCCACAAGGTCTGACCAGATTGCACTCCCTGTGAAGGACCAAGTTCAATGACTTGGTGGTAACTGAGGATGCTCATGCAGCGATGGTGGCTAGAGGTGCTTTTTGCCAATTATTTTTTTATTGATATTCCATAATTTTTAACAAATTGTCACCAAATTAATACAAATTCAATATAAAATTAAACGTTGACTTCCAACCCCCCCCCCCCCGGATGTCTCCTCTATTTTCCTCCCTCCTTTGCTGCTCCCAATAAAATAACTTTTCCTGCTATCTTTTCAAAATACATTCATCCCTTTCTCCTTACACATCACCTGTTCAATTACCAATTTCTGCTATAGCTTTTATACATTGTTATAACTTGTCCTCAAAATAGTTGAGTAGAGTAAATCCTCTTCTTTCTATCTATCATAGTCATTCATCAATTTTCAAACATTTCCTTCTGATACTCTTGAGTAACACTTTGCCTGAGAAAAACAGATCTTGCTTCCTTCCAGACAATATACACACATTCCTCCTTAACATGGCCGTGAACATTGCTGTCTGACATCTGGCCCCATTAATCAACGACTCAGCCTCACTGGTGCGGAGGATGAAAATGAAACCTCTAGATTTTTTTTGTATAAATATATAATATACATCCCTCCCCTCTAATGCTGCCAATCTCCCAGCGTCACCCACACTTCGCATTTCGCCAAATTTAATCCTTAATTTTACATACAACCAGGTCATTAATAAATAAACACAATCCATATCTCTTCTTTTCTGTCTGAAAGTCTCAGAAGCCGTCAAGATGGTATACACTGTGGTCCATCCTGTCCCTTTCACTGTTCTTATTTCCAGCTTCAAGATGTACTTCAGAGGCCTTGCTTAGTTACAGCCTACAACAACCATTACGTTGTTGAGCACACTGAACATTGCCTTTTTGCAGTTGGCACCACTGCTCTGAAATTCAATCCAACATAAAATCAACCATGCTCCAACCCTCAGCATTTTAGATGGTATATGATGAAAGCCACCATTTTGCCATTACCCCCAGTGGCTAATAGTAAACTGAGCCCCCAAAATGGTGCTGTGTTCTGGTTTTTCTGTGAATAAATTATGTTGGGCTTTTTGTTCTTTTGGAACTGGCTTTTAGTAATATACAGTGTTTTTAGTGGTGTACAATCATATTTTATGGGTTATGTTTTGATGCGCATTTTGTAAGATGCTTGGTGGAGAAAGTCTCTTTAAAAAGCAAGTTGTAATTATTAATTAATCGATCAATCAATTCTTGTTAGAATGAACATAGCAGAGGGCATGGGAGTGCACATGCCTGTCCACATGCCAATATCACTTCCAGCTGGCACATACCCTAAACGCCTGAACTGGGCCATTGTTCCAGCTACAGCCAGAACAATTTTGTTGACCAACTATCAAAAATAAGCTTGAAATATACATCGCGAAGTCCTGACTCACCCTCGCAGAATCCCATGATTTAACCTTGAATTGGATGGATGAGGATTTGTGTTAAATATAGAGCGTTCAAGGCAGCTACCTTCGCCCTCCCGCTACGGGGTGGAAGGCGAAGGCCCCGTTTGGCCCTTCAGTGGGGTGGGGGCGCACTCGTGGGCGCACGCCGATGACTTTGCAGCGCCCACAAACTGAAATAGCACAGACTTTGCGCTAGGAAATACTGTAGACAAAACCCAACAGCCACAGGCTTTCCATCCAATAGAAACCACTCCGGCCAGTCGGCGGGGGAGGATCCACACGTCTTACTTCAACTCACGAGGCGGGTTGCGCCTGGTGGGGCTACGCCGAGGAGGCGGAAGAGATGAACCCAGGATCCCGCCGGCCTGGTAGGGAGCGAGGGAGGGGGGGGCGCATCTGACACGCCCAGGCCGCGCGTGGGCTTGTGAATGAACCACGTGGCACAGACTCCTTTCCAGCTCTGGAGACGCGCCTGTGCCTGGGACTCTTCATAGAAATTTAGCGCTTTCTCCGCCGGTTCGCTCGCCGCTGCCAGCCAGTCCATCCGGAATCAGCCCGGCATGGAGGCAACAACGCGCCGCTCCCCCTACAGCTTCTCCGCCGTTTGCTGCCTCCTCGCTGGAACCTTCCTGCCGCTGCCAGGTAAAAGAGCCTCCGATCGCTTCTTTTCGTCCTAGGTGGGACTTTGGAATCGAACGCTCTCGCGGGAAAGTGTCCTGATCCTTAATGGGTTCTTGAGATCCCCTAGAGGGCGCGCGCTTGGGTGGCATCCTATAAGTCTCTCAGAGGAGCCAGTACCTACCCTGTGTTTGCTAATACCCCAGCTTTATTACCGTGTCTGATGATCTGGCTTTTTCATGTGATCGCCCTAGATTTTCCGCAGCCCAGGAGACAGTTCTGCTCCCTGCGTGCTACTATCCTAAGGGACTGACTCTGTAGCTTCGCTCCCACCCTGGACACCAAGGTGGGTTTTCCCCGCCCCCTTAGAGCGCAAGAACTTTCTATATCTGTATGGAAACTTGTGAGCTTGAGGCGCTGTAGTGTCTGCCCAGATGGTGTCCTTCCTTTCGGCGGGGCCCCCATTTCCCGGAGTTCCGCCGTCGGTCCTTGCAAGCTGTTGTGATTGTTGGTTTATAACATGAGAATGTCCGGGTTTAAGGCTTTATCCTCGACTGATCTGGAATTTCGAAGCCCTGAAGGAGGCGCTTGGCCGGGAGAGAGAGCAGTCAGGAAAATGCACTCTGCATAGGCTTGTAGTCTCGTCTTTTGTGAGTAGTTCTGCTTCACATTTCGAAATTCGGCATTCAGAAACATTACAGTGGTACCTCAGGTTAAGAACTTAATTCGTTCTGGAGGTCCATTCTTAACCTGAAAGAATTCTTAACCTGAGGTACCACTTTAGCTAATGGGCAGTGGCGTAGCATGGGGGGTGAGGGGGGGCCGGCCGCACCGGGCGCAACATCTGGGGGTTAGGGTTAGGGGGCGCAAATCCACGGGTTAGGGGGCGCAAATTACTTGCCTTGCCCCGGGTGCTGACAACCCACGCTACGCCACTGCTAATGGGGCCTCCCGCTGCCGCCGCGTCGCCATTACACGATTTCTGTTCTCATCCTGAAGCAAAGTTCGTAACCCGAGGTACTATTTCTGGGTTAGCGGAGTCTGTAACCTGAAGCGTCTGTAACCTGAGGTACCACTGTACTGGGTCTGTGCCCCGGCTCAAATGAAGTCCTTGCTTGGATGGATCTAGTTTTCACACCCTCTTTATGTTTGATGGAGGCTCCTTGTGCTGTGCTTTCCCCCTATCCTTGATTCCCTCTCAGTTTCTCCCTGACTAGTTATTTATTTAGTCATTCAATTTATATCCCATCTTTCCTCCCCAAAGAGCCCAGGGCGGCAAACACATCAGACTTACACAGACACATCAGACTAAAAACAGTTAAAAACTTTCTCGCAACCAGTAATCTCAAGGTTGCTAGGAACAGTGCATTTCAGCCGTCAGATGCCTGGGTAAACAGAAATGCTAAATTCCGCCTGAAAGTCAATAACAAATTAGGCTTTTCTGTTGGTTGGTTGTTTGCTGGTTGCAGACAAGTCTGAAACTATGACGTTTCCTCACCTCCTGGTGGGTGGGACAGTGGTGCTGTTAGGGCAGGATGCTGGGGCAGAAGTCCAGGACCACACGAAGACAATGATGTTTCAGAAGTTCTTAGATGGTGTTGGGGAAATCGTTAGTCACTTTCTGCCCAGTGTGATTGATGTACCTTTTCAAGAAACTAGATCAAACTCCAGGATTTAGACATGCACTAGAAATAACGGTCAGAGCTGCTTGTTTTTATATCTGGGTCCACCCATATGAAAGCAGGGGTCTGATTTAAAGAGCCTCCTGAAAAGTTTGTGGGGGAGGGGGTTGGTAAATGGGAAGATAATCAGCCATATTTTTCTTGCAGAATGTATGTACCACAAATAACTGACATGGGCATGTGAGGGCAGGTGCGCCATGAGCTGTTTTTGTGGATCAGTCAGTGTAGCAGACTTATTTGCAAGGCTGCTGTCTTCATTCTTACTCTGCTCCCAAACCTGAGAGAGGCTGCATTTGAATATAACACTAAACCATGGCTTGGCATTGTGGCACAACTGGCCTCTGGCTAGTACACTTTCCACCATCTGCATAGTCAGGAGTAGGATTTGGGCAGCATTTACTTTCAGTTTCCCAGAATCTCAGCTTGTCATTAAGGACTTAGGAAGATGCTTTAATATGCTTTGTTAGACCATAGGTCCATTTAGCTCAGTATTGGCTACAGTGCTTGAAACAGTTCTCCAGGGTTTCCAGCTCTCCAGGGTTTCCAACCCTCTCTGGAAATGCTGGGGATTAAAGCTGAGTCCTTCTGCCTGAAAAACATATGCTCTACCACTGAGCTATGACTGTACACTGAGCTACAACCTATGGTCACTGCATCTGAACTGGTGGTTGTGGACTATCACGAATTACCTCCCATTTCAAAACAAGTTAGCTTCAAATGGTGGGCTATGAAGCTAGTTTGCTAAAACTGACCATAATTTAAACCACAGGTCTAACACAATGGTGAGCAGAGACTCTGGGTAAATTGTGGTCACATAATCATCCCAGCTGCATGGGATGAGGGAGCATGCAAGCCTGAGTGCTAAATTATGGTTTAATGTTGCATCTAAATGCAGCCAAAGTTGCAACAAATTTTACCAGACAAATCCACTTTGGAAGCAATAAAGGCAACCAGTCAAAGAGTTATTTGTTACAAGTCTCCTTCTTGTTCTAATTCTGGAAGGGAAAAATAAAAGCAAGCTGTGTGGTCTGCTGAAATTCTGCTTCCCTTGCAGAGCCTTCATGAGATAGCAGATCCAAGAGGTGGTTCAGACAATCTCTGAGTTAGAACTAAGATAGGTCCAAGCAGTTTCTCTTTAAAAAAGTGACTGGGCTGAAGATGCTTAGATATTTTAAGTGTTTTTAAGTTCTGTTCCTGAGCCGTTGGAATGGCTGTCTCCGGAATTGCTAAGGACTCCCTGTGGCAGGAGTTCAAATTTGCCTGCCAGCTCAGTCTCAGCTAACCAATCAGGTACTCGTCTTGTTCAGTAGTGCCTTACCCAGCTAAATGAAGAAACCCACTTCCTTCAAATGACTTTCAAAAATATAAAACTCCTTCTGAAAGTTTTTATTTTATTTTTTGGTCTGTGAATTTTGGCTTTGTCTCCTGAATGCCTCTGGCTGTGTCTGGGTAGTAGTTGTGTTTGCTTGTCTTCTGTACATGCACGTCTTCAGCGGAGCCCTGATTTGCAGAGAAGCATAAAGCTTAGTTTGTCACAGTTCCAGGCCCTGCTCTATTGCCCTGAGGTCACAGATACACTGGGAGCAGTGTGTAACACAGCCAACATGGGCAGTGTCTGTCTCCTCCTCTCTTCCCACTCCCACCCCAACGCTGCCTTAGTTGCTCTTGCAGCTTTGGAAATGAAATGGGACACGTTCAATCCAAGGGGCCTTGTGCAACAGAGGAAGAGACAATTGAATGTAGAGAAATGTGATGGGTGCCAGCCACTTCCAAAGCCTCAGGTGCAAGTAACTGGAGCAGGCTGCTGCTTTGTTGCTGTCGGAGAATTTGGGAAACAAAGTAAGGCTATCTCTTGAAAACTACTGTAATGTTTTCAACTAGTGTGCCATGGCACCCAGGGGTGTCGTGGACAACACTGGCCTCTGGCCCTCTTTCTTTCCTTCCCTTCTTCCTCTGATGCCCTCTTGCTTCTGTGCCTTCCAAAGGCTTGCACAGCTGTTTGTTGCAGCAGCCCTGGCTATAAACTCCCCAGAGGAATGGTGCCTATGGGGCTGGTCAGGGGGTGCTTCCCAGGCCCTTGTGGGGCAGTGTGAGGAGGCACCTCTCTTTGGGGCAGGGTGGGCAGCTCAGAGGAGGGGTGGCAGCAAGCGGGGTGGCAGCAAGGAGAGGGGAGAGGAGGTTGAGGGAACCCTCCACAAGGGAGGGTGTTTGAAAAGGCTGCCAGCTCTGCAGGCAAGGGGTGACATAACTGGGCTCCTGAGCCCGACAGGGGTGCCACAGAAATAATGCAGTAGGTCAAGGGAGCTGTGGACCCAAGAACGTTGAAAACCCTGTCTTATTATACCACCCTTTTTGGTAAAGATTCTTTCATGTTAAACAGAACATGTTGGTGGGGTGGCAGCTAAGAGTTGCTCCATTTTCGCAAAGCACTTCTGGGGCCAGTGTTCTGTGTTTGTGTCTGTGGATTAAATGTGTGTACAGCACAATCCTAAATCAGTTTCACTGAATTCAGCACGGCTTACTCTTGAGTGAGTGGTGGATGATTACAGGCCAAGTAGCAGTGAAGGGCTTCTAGTCAATATTCTCTGCACCTCTGGAGTGTTAATGCAAAGTGCTAGTGAGGATGTACATGGGGATTCAATTTTTATATAATTTAAAGAAACACACAAATGGCCCATACTCTTAATAGAACCTGTAGACTGTTGCTGAAAAGGGACAGTTCTAGGCTGCAGTTTGCCAGAGTTTGATATTTCATATCCAGGTCACAGATCTATGTTTAAGTGTCCTATCCCTACTTGCAGTAAATGAGTTGGATCCGTGTACTCTGCCTTTTGATGCTGTGGAATGAATGAGAGCATTCAGCATTCTGACGCACCTTGGCAAGCAACCAAGCTATTTCCCCAAAGGTGTGGGATACAAAGCTCTGGTGTGTGTTAGATGTTTTTGCGTGGGGGTGGGGTGGGGTGGGGAATAGTCAATTAGCATTGAACCATGTTATTGCAATACATCCTGTGTACAAAGAGTACAAAAAATTATTATTGCCTGCCTTTGAACATTTACCTAAACCAGGATGGAATTGTATGCAAATTTTCACTCCTCAGAGAAAAATTGGGATATAGATTTGATAGGCAGCATATTACTATTTACTATTGGTTAAAAGTCTAAGCTGGAAGACAAAAAGTGCCTTGTTCACCTTGGTAATTTAACCACTGTATCCTCCTTACACAAGCTACGGTATCTTGTTCTCAGATCCACCATCTGCTATATAGGTATAGTCAGTTATTTTTTTTCTAAAATGTTTAGGGGTACATTTTGACTCAAGAAAATCACCATTTTATAGTTAAAATCGGGAAAAATAAGTACAGTAAATGGACAAAAGTACAAAGATTCACAAAATGTTTCAGGGTATGCGTACCCCTGTGTCCCCCCCAGAAAAAAGCACTGGGTATAGTAATACTGACCTACACAATGCTATTATATGGATTAGTTATTTATTACACTTGTATCCCATCCTTCATATAAGCATCTGAAGGAGGCATACACAGTTATTCCCCAAGCTTTATCTTAAGAACATAAGAGGAGCCTGCTGGATCAGGCCAGTGTCCCATCTTGTTCTCGCAGTGGCCAATGAGCTGCTTCTGGGAAGCCTGCAAGTAGCACCTGAGAGCAACAGCCCTCTCATCTCCTGCCCTTTGAGATAGGCCAATATCTCTCATCTCTGGCCCATAGATTACTAAGATAGTGTATATGGAGCACTTCTAACAGTCTAAAAGTGCTACGTAAAACCTAGGTATTAAAATTGTCCTCCATGGGAGGGTGGACTATACAGTGGTACCTCGGGTTACAAATGCTTCAGGTTACAGACTCCACTAACCCAGAAATAGTACCTCGGATTGAGAACTTTGCTTCATGATGAGTCACAGTTTCCTTTCTTTTTAAAAAAGAAGGTGTTTTCTAAGCAGTGCCTTGTCGCCTATGCCCACTTAGAGTCCATGGACAGAATATGCGTTTCAGCTATGGCTTCCACTCTTTACATTTTTAGAGGGTTTTTTTTTTTTTAAGTAAAAAATAATAATTGTTTTGATTAATCAAGTAAACCAATATTATGAACTCTCCTTGGGTGTCGTGTGTGAGAGTGCTTATGCTTTTTAATCAAGTGGGTTTCAGCTTGAATTTTCAATCAATCAAATTTGCACATGCATATATTTTTACAAGGCTGCAATTGTTTTCTGTTGATTTCCTTGGGCGAAAGCCCCATTGAAATAATAAAAGGCACTTACTGTTGAATAAGTTTACTCAGAAGTAGGTTTCAATGAGGCTTGAGCCCAAGGAAATCGGCAGACAATTAGGCGTACAGGCTTCTCAGAAGCCTCCTCCCACAAGAAGTAGGGATGACCAGCAACTTGGCTTTAAAAGAGGATTAGACAAATTCATTGAGGATAAGGCTATCACAGCTACTAGCCACATTGGCTATGTTCTACCTCTGCTGTTGAAGGTAGAATGCTTCTGAATACCACTTGCAGGGAACTGCAGGAGTGGAGGGTGCTGTTGAGCTCAGTTCTGCTTGTATGCTTCCCAGAAGGCTGGCTACCGTGAAGACAGGATGGAGGGCTAGATCAGGGGTCGGCAATCTTTTTCAGTCATGGGCTGGTCCACCGTCCCTCAGACCATGTGGTAGGCCGGACTATATTTTGAAGAAGAAAAAATGAACGAATTCCTATGCCCCACAAATAACCCAGAGATGCATTTTAAATAAAAGCACACATTCTACCCATGTAAAAACACGCTGATTCCCGGACCGTCCACTGGCCGGATTGAGAAGGCGATTGGGCCGCATCTGGCCCCCGGGCCTTAGGTTGCCTACCCCTGGGCTAGATGGACCAACCAGCAGGAACTTCTTAAAACTTTCTCAAAATCCATCATCATCAGTGCTCCCCCCCCCCAGAAAAATAGATGCCAGTATTTACCATGAAGTTGTTACAATAAGTGCCACACTTTTTAACAACAAAAAAGGTGCCAGCACTGCGTACCCCCTGAGTACCCCCTGGGGGAAAAAGCACTGATCATCATCACCATTTATTAAACTTATTAGTCACTTGTCACACAAAAAATATAGAAGGGATCAGATCTCCCTCACTAACCCTGGTTTCATCAGTGATGATGACTCCATTGCGAAAAGAAGGCCTTGCTTCTGCCGCGGAGCTACCCATTGCCACCCAGAGCTCTGTGGCCTTTCCAAGTGTCATTGTAGGAAAGGAAATCTAGCCCAAAAGGTCCTGGTTTGCTTTTCCAAACAGACTTAGAATGGCAGAAAGTTGGGTGAGCAACAAAGGTAGTAATAGCAGCAGAATGACTCTCAGCAGTGACAGAGGCAACAGATGCAGGGTGGGGCATTATTGGCAGCAGGTATGGTGGTTACTTTAACTCAGAAAGAGATTGATGCTTGTCCAGGCTGCCTCAGCTTCCAAGGTGACTTCCACCTTGATGGCTTCAAACAGGAGGTTGTGGGCAGGCTGTACCAGTGATATAAGCTTTTCGGACTGCACAATAAGCAGCCAGCTAATCAGCTCATCTAGAATTGCACGTGTTTAAGTGGGGGTACCGCAAATAACAACACAAAAACAAATAACTTCTCACAAGTCTTGAATTTATTTCAGCTGGGCTTTGCGGCCCTAGTTTCAATCCCTAGGTCTACGTTCCTTGCTTGACCAGCTTTCTGTCTGGGCCTTATGACAGAATACAAACTCATCTCCAGTATGTACCGGTACTTTGCAGTGTGTTCTATAACAGACTACCACGTGTAGAAACAGATTAAAGGACAACCTCTTCCAATGACCAGAGAGTCTCTGAGGGAAATTTCGCTTGCAGCTTGCTCATTATGGGTGAGATTAGATGAGTAATCTAACTGCACTGTTCTGTAGTTGAAGAAAGGCCATGTTTGACCAGTAGCTCAAAGAAAGATTCTTCTGCATATTGATCAGTTGGGTGACAGTAGCCAGTAAACAGGAAGGAGATGTTTAGATTGAACATGATTACATTGCTGTGAAGGTAAATATGTCTTTTTAGGTCTGGTTCAGACATAACAGGAAGCCATGGTTTCCTGTTACAAGAAGAAGTTGTGGTGAGCTTTATGTACTTTCTCCTCCCAGCTTTTTTGTTTTGTTTTGTGGCAGTAAAGAAATTAGAAGCTTCTGCTTCTAATTTTAAACAAACCACAGTTTCCCATCATGTCTGAACTTGGAACTGTGGTTTGTATAAAAGTTGGAAGGGAAAGCTGCCAATTTTCTCCTCCTGTGAAAGGAGAGTGAGGAGCACATGAGCCTGAGACTTGTCCTGGTCCATTCATGTAATAACAAAGCATAGTTTCCTATTACAGTAGTACCTCGGTTTACAAACTTAATCCATTCTGGAAGTCCGTTCTTAAACCAAAACTGTTCTTAAACCAAGGCACGCTTTCCCTAATGAGGCCTCCCACCGCCTGTGCCCTTCCACCATTCAGATTCCATTCTTAGACCGAGGTAAAGTTCACAAACCGGGACACTTCTTCCGGTTTTGAGGAGTTCGTAAACCGAATAGTTCGTAAACAGGGCTGTTCTCAATCCGAGGTACCACTGTGTATCTTACATCTATGTAGATTAGCAGCAATAGGATGAAATATTATTCCCCTAGGCATGTACCTTGCGAGAGTGACAGGTGCTCTCATTTAGAGTATTGATCACTAGCCAGCCTGTTTATGTGGAAGCACCATAATGACAATTGCAGTGATCTAGACCTTTGTGTTAATTGATTTGCATGAATGAACATTTTCTGTAATCAGCTTTCTTTCCTTTAGCCTCTGATTCTTGCATCTTTGTAAATGTCCCAATGGACCTTAATTAGACAGAAAGGGTAGGTTTTACAATCACTGGGGTGTTTGCAGTTTTTTTCAGAAGTGTTTCAAATATACACAATTCCACTTAAATGTGTGGTTCCCCAGAACGTAACCCAGAACATTAAAATATCACATGTTGCAAATTGGGTTTCAACATGGGGCTGCTGTTTTCAGAGATGTTTCTTGCAACAGGTAGTGCCACCCTTAGCCAGATTCTGTGGTTCGCTAGAAGCACTTAGAACACCCAGAATAATAAACAAATGTTGGTCCCCTAGAACTGGAAGCTTCTGGGTGTGAACACATAAATAGTACAAATGAGGTTTACTGTCTGCAGTCTTTAAGGTTACCACTTTTCTATGATTTTTTTTTTTTCATTTTTAAAGGTTTAATTTATCACATAATGATTAGTTACGCTTGACAGGAAGAGGTAGCCTTTACCCAGAGCCTGGCTCTGCTTCCATCTGCTGCATATTGCATGAGTTGGCTGTACCCCAGTTTTAAGGCTCAAAATCAGCAAATTGTTTCTCAGTTCCCCAGGTTGGTATGAGACCAGAAAGACTCAGGTAGGCAAAGAACTGTAGAAATGTAAGGTTGAATGTTTAATCTAAGTTCTTTCACATCCTGCAGCTGCAATAAAAACGGGTCTGTGTATGTGATATACTTACTATACGTGCTTGCTTTATTCTGGCATGCTACTTTGGTGTTACTTTTAATAACAGCCTATGCCAACCTGGTCTTTTGGACTACAACTTCTCCATTCCCCTTAACACTGCCTCCCAAAAGATGGTGTTGAGGGGAAGGTGGGATGTGGCATTTAGCTGCAGGAGCTGAAAAAGAAGCAGTCCAGAATAGAAGTGCCCATCTCCAAGTATGTGAACATCCACTCAAAGCTCTGCAGGCTTCTAAGTCTTGTGGAACTTTCGCATCTTTGTCAGAGTTGTCTTTTCTGCCACTGCAGCTTTTTAGAAAAGTGAGTTGATATGAACTGAATGATGCAGAACCTACAGACAGAATAATTGGTGCTTTTTCAGGGGGTACTCAAGGGAACACAGTACCAGCACCTCTTTTTGTCGTTAAAAAGTGTGGCACTCACTATAACAAATTCAGGTGAGTACCAGCACCTATTTTCCTAAGGGGAAAAAAGCACTGAGACAAATTATATCATATTGTGATGTGACTGCAAATGTGCACAGCTCAGGATAAGAGAGGGTTGGCATCTTAATATTGTACCCTTGAGTGCTTGGAGCAAGAACTGCTTCTGCCTAGATTAATATTTCCACCTAAAAAATCCATGGCAACTATTGACTCATGATAAAGTTTTATCAAGTGCTTGTTGCATGCTAATGCAAAGGAAGGAGTTCTTTGTTCTAACTGGAAAAAGTATGTATCCTTTTGTGACTCCTTTGTTTTCTGAGCTCAGGGTACCTGCAGTCTTTTCCTCCAAGCCAAATGCATGAACTGGCAGTTATTGAAATATGAAAATTGTCCTGATTAGGACTCTGTCAAATTGCCTACCGAGGGAGGCCAAGATGCAAAGTTCCATAGGACTGGTTTATAATATTTATTTTTATTTAATTAATACAAATATAATTCAATGTGTATTGAATAAAGAAACAAAGAAACAACAAGTTTCATGAAAATGAAAACTGAACATACACATACACGAACAAAATGAATTTCCTCCACTTGGATGCCTTGCAGGTTCAAAATGAGCAAACTAGTTACTTGACACGTATTAAAAAGCACCTTCTCTCATACTAATCCAATGGGATTTGCTAAATGAGCCAGAGGTGGTATGTGTGTGATTATAAAGATGGTTAAAGGGCAGTATTCATTCTTCTTGGATGCCTTTTAGAAGGGTGCAACAGCTGGTTGTTAGAAGGGTAACAATCACAAAGCCCTTGACATCCACATGTTGCCTGGCCCACTGTGTAAAGCAGCACTGGCCAAGTACCTCAGTAACAGCAAGGCAACAAAGGACAAGACCAGCATCCTGTTGCTACTTCTGTGCTGTAGATCACCACCAAGCCCATGTCAGTGGCCAAAGACTATCACCAATCTTTCCCCTTCCTCAGGATGGAGGGTTTAGTCACAGTCTGGTGTGTTATGTTTACTCTGATGACTGTAGGTAAAAGCTTAAATTCAAAAGGCATTGGGGGCTGCCTTATAATAGAAGCTATCTCATGCACACACCAAACTCCCCAAACATTTTGGCATGCTGCTGAGACTTGGCATGCTGTTTTCCCCATTAGTCATTATCCTGAGCCTGCTGTGTAGGTGTGTTGAGTTTGGGTGAAGAAGCCAGCCCAGTTGTGCTCCAGCATGAGGGTTCTTTCAGCAATGCAGAGGAACAGCTGCCTCAGCAGAGACCCAAGACTGGAATAAAATGAGTAAAGAGTTATTGAGAAGCTGTAATTCTGTGGTTTGTGGGTGGAGAGTGGGAGTCCAGTTTTAACTCCTGCTTTACTGTGTGAGCAAGTGGTGTGGGACTTCCTCCCATGCCACACTTAACTGTCTTGTTTGCTGTTGATTCTTCAACACTGTATGGGACGTACGAGATCCTTCATTCACACTGAAATGATTCTTCTGCAGAGATAGCACTGGCTACCAAGCATACTTGGTTCTAATTGTTTTGGGTTGTTCCCCACCACCAGTTAAGTCCCTCCCCTTGATTTTTTTTGTACTTCTGAAAACTCGGGGGTTCATGGATGGTTGTGCATGGATGGTTCCATTGTGTGTACACCAGGATCAGTACTTAGACTGAGGTCACTATAAATATATATATGATTGATTGTTGCAAAAGGACATGAGATTCTCAAATTGACTTGAACTTTGAGATCATGAAAACTTGTTTTTCAGGGGTGTTAGATTTCAACCTTGGCCTACTGTATTTTTTGTCTTTACCCCTTTTTCATACAGTGGTACCTCTGGTTAAGAACTTAATTTGTTCTGGAGGTCCGTTCTTAACCTGAAACTGTTCTTAAACTGAGGTACCACTTTAGATAATGGGGACTCCCACTGCCGCTGTGCCGCTGCTGCGCGATTTCTGTTCTTATCCTGAAGCAAAGTTCTTAACCCGAGGTACTATTACTGGGTTAGCGGAGTCTGTAACTTGAAGCATCTGTAACCTGAAGCGTCTGTAACCTGAGGTACCACTGTATTTTGCAAGGAAGCACCCTCACAAAATGTTTTGGTCTACATAGCTCCATTGTTATCTTTGGAGGTGGGGAAATAGTGCTTCTTCAAATCCTTGACTTTGTAACTCTGCTAATTTCTCTCTCTGATTCTTTACCCAACAATGATCATCAGTGGCCATAGGTACCTTTCCTACTCCAGCATGAAGCTCCAATACATTGGTTTGTCATACTTTGTATGTTTGAGGAGCAGAGGGTGAGGTTTGGAGAAAATAATTTCCAGTCTGCAGAGAACTGGATGGCTGCAGTGCGACTAGAGGAGGAGGTTAATAGAAGAGGAGTTTCCTCCCCACCCTGTAATTGTAATTGATTTGTCCTGTGGGCTCTGTTCCTTCCCTTTCCCTCTTATTTTCCCCTTGCTGGAAGCAGCTGACCTTCTGGGCATGTGTGTGATTTTAGCTTTCCTCTGTTTTTTTTTCCTGCACTAGGAGATGGGCAGAATTTATCATCAGCTCAATCTGGCACTGTGTCACACTTCGTGCTCCCTCACACGGAGGCTGGCGGCCTTGGCAACTGGACAATTCCCCCTACTGCCATAAGTGTGGATGGCAACACCACCGTTGCTTCACAGTTAAATCTCAGTAGCTCAGTCCCGGTTGAATCTCTGGCACCTACTGTACACGGCTCCTTAAGCACCACAGCAAGACTACAGAACACAACGCATGTTGCCAACAGTAGTCCTGACATCCATTCACTTCCTGCTGCAACTACAAACTTGGTAGAAGTGAACCAGACCCGTCTGAATGATTCCGAACCCATCAGTACCACAGCCTGGGTTAATTCCAGTACAAATGTTACGGCTACAGAGCCCTCTCAGCCAAAGGACGTACAAGGTAAGACTTGGTAGTAGTCAACCACTTCCCATGGAATGTAGCTTAATTCTCAAGCAACTTGGGTTGTGTACACACAACATTTTGTTCTGCAATCAAAGGAGACTGAATGCTTGCGTTGTTTTTTTCTATATAGTCCTTGCACAATCTAGATCTACTGCATATTTTTATTTCCCTGAAAAGTATTTCTTGAGAAACTGGTTTCATTCCAAAAATAAAAGCTCATTGTGGATTGATTCTGCAATACCTCACAGTGTGTCCATTTGAAACAAGATGTAGGCAGTCCTGGCAGTGGGGGTTGTATCCATACCTGCCCAATTATGTTATGGGTGTGCATACACCAAGACTGCAATCATTGCTTCCTTCTTCAATCACCTGGGGCATGTGTGGGGAGGAAAACATATAGATAGCCTAATCAAGGGGAGGGTTTTCACCTACCCCTGTAGATTGAAAGCCACATGTTGAGGACAAGCATAAATGATTCTCAACGGAGAAACACTACATATCTGGGTTAGTGAGTGCACAGCCTTGGAAAATTTTTCAATTGACTTTATTAGGTGGAATACCTCAGAAAGTTTTTTGGCTCTAGTTGTTGTTGTTTAGTCGTTTAGCTGTGTCCGACTCTTCGTGACCCCATGGACCAGAGCACGCCAGGCTCTAGTACCTTATCCCATACCTGCCAAAATTGGAGTGGAGAGAATAGAACACAATCTGAGTAGAACTCCCAAGTGCCTGGAATCATAATTAGATGTTTCTATAACCTAGGCATAAATATTACTGAGGCAAGGAAGAAGGGCTACCCCTATGCTATCCATATAATCAGTTATCAGTAATTAATATATTCATATATGCTTACACATAATCAAGGCTTACAGTATTTTATAATCCATTTTGAATCAAAGGGAAGCTGTGCCTTAGCTAACTGCAAACTGCTTGAAACAGCAAAGTTAGGAGCCGACCTTTCCCCTACAAACATCCGTGTACCCTGGACAAGGGGAAGACGTGAATCAGAGATACTGGTACAAAAACCCCTCAGATACAGGCTAAATTAATCCACAGAACAGAAAGAGCAAAACCACAAAATCTCCAAACTCCCTGTCCTGTCATAACTAGGGGAGAGGTTAGACAGAGCGTCACTGCAAGCATCGGAAAGCAGAACTAGAACTCCGTGCTTGACCAGTGCTTGACCAGGAGCTGGTAGCGTGGCAAGGAGCTTGCTAATTGGCTAATTCTCGCTGACAATATCGTGAGTCCCTCATGGTTGTCTCATGATCTATGATTTGCTGTGATCTGCTCAGGTATAAAGACCTCTGGATTTCTGTCAATCGGGGTCCCAGTTCCTTTTGGAAGAGATTCCAAACTGGGTCCTTATTGCCTGGCAATAAACTTCACCTTCTTATTCTCCATTGCTGAGTCTGCCTGATCCTTATTTAACACCAAGCGAGTACCTGCTTACGTTCACGTGCTTCATTACCTCTTCGATGACAATTATAGTTCTGTTGACACAGGATATTTATTCAATCCCTCATGTAAACTTCAGTACACTTTGAAAACCTTGCAGTTTTTCATAAAATGGAAGGCAGGTAATTCTGGGTTGTTGTCAAGCGGTAAATGGAGAACAGAAAGTCAGACATCTGGGCAAATGCCTTGCTCCATATATATAAAAAGTTATGACATAACAAATTGGTATAATTTGGATATGCAGTAAATTAAAATATAAACAAGGAACCACAGAAAGAGGGAGAGAGGAGTCTAAATAAGTAAATGATTGTCTGCAAAGTAAATTTATATTTATTTTGTATATTGTAAAAGCTTATAAGTGTATTTTTTAAAAAGTTATGGCATTGTAACAAAAATAGGGAAAGTTATTTTCACCTTTCTTCAAAGGATGAGAAAATCACAGCAAGATGTGCTGCAGGGTTCTATATGATTAGCAGGAACCATTCCATACTGGGAGTCCTGGTGTCCATGAAGGCAGAAGTCTTTCTCTGATTGTTCTTTGACTACTTTTTATTGGTTTTGGTGGCTTCAGGATAAAGAGCAGTTTCTCTCAGGGAACAATTGTTGACAGTGGGAGAAGGGGAAAGCTCTGTGTCTGATGCGTCAGAAACAAATGATGCAAAACACATATTGACATAGGCATTGATCAGTAGGCACCTATCTCTGATGTGTTTGGGCAGGCAATTGATTGTTGATGCTGTAACGCTCCAAGAGATTCCTCTATGCACCATGCAGTGGGGCTTGCCTTTGAACTTCCTTTTCCTGTAGAGGGTACACTATGCTAATTCACCTTCCCCCGCCCCTTGGGCCACATGATAAAAGAAGAGCTAGGCTGTGTACACGCCATATATTTAAAGCACATCCCCACCACCCAAGAATCCTGTGAACTGCATTTTGTTGAGGGTGCTGGGAATTGTAGCTCTGTGGGGGCAAACTACAGCTCCCATGATTCTCTGAGGGGGGATGATCTCTGACCCCTGGCTTGTCTGATAGAATTGAAGTATGTTTGGAACTAAAGATTTGGTTTCTAGGATTTCAGTCAGAACCCTCTTCTAATTATTTTGTGTAGATCAGTTAGGACTCACTTTAGCTGTCTCAATTTGCACCCTAAGATTTCCAGGCTCTACAGCTTGAAAACCCAGATTTTGCCAACTGACTAACCTAAGAACAGATATTTTCTGCACAACATGTCTCAGAAAGCTTGCTATTGTAAGACAAACTATGGCAAAGGGCTATGTGTATCCACTAGTGTGTTTCAGCCATTGATGTAAATCTCTTTGCAAGCTTGGACTCTGTTCTGGACTCTGGATCTGCTCCATCCATGTCCTAGAATTGTAGTAATAGAGAGGAAATGATCATGCTGGATTATTTTCATTTATTCTTGCACATCAAAGACCCAGGATCCTCGCTTGATTCACTTGTGGGTGTCTCTCTTGTCTCTTTCTCCAGGGCCGACATCTCCTTCCCAGCCAAAAGCTTCCACACTCATCACCTCGGGGCCTACAGAAGGGAGACCAGAAACTATGTCGGTGGCAAACCGTAATGCTATCACAGAGGGGAGCAGTGCTGAGTCCACTTTCGCTCCAAATGCAACTGATACGGATGGAAGAGTGCTCACAGCGAGTGCCTCTAGCACTACCATATTAACACCAGGCATTGTCTCCTCCACACTCACTTCTCCCAGAGTCCCACCAGTGGAAACAGAGCAACCAGCTAACCACGTGCAGAAGAAGGCCTCTACCACAGACGTAGGAGATGGCGAAGGTACTCACTTGGAGCTCTTATTCCATGCGGGTAGAAACAAGGATAGAGAGTAGTTTGGGAACTAGATATATAGTGGAGATGAAGGTATATAAAAATGTTTTTGCGACAGAACAAGTTTTGACTTTTGAAGTGCCTAGTAGTTGTATGGAATTGCCATTCTGGGCCGGGAGCGATAATCCATGTTTGGCTGTCTGACTTTCCCCCCCCCCCTTCCTGCAGACCTACCTAGTATACCAGAAGCCAGCCCAATAGGTGAGGACCCTCTGGTGATTGCAGTCATCTTCATCTTCATTGTGACAGTGGGGATCCTGGCTCTTATGGGGTTCTTGCGGTACCGACAGCGCAGTGGCCAGCTGCAGTTCCGGCGGCTCCAGGATTTGCCTATGGTTTGTGCCCTTGATTAATCCTCCTCGGTTAGACCTCTAACCTGGACTTCACAGGCTCTTATTAGAAGATAGGAAGCTAACCAATGATCTGATTTGGCAGAAGGCAGTCTAGCTCAACCCTAACTGGCAGTGGCTTTCCAGGGTTTCAGACTTTGGTCTCTCCCAGCCCAACAGGAGGTGGCAGGGATTGAACATGAGGTCTTCTGCATTCAAAGCAGATGTCCTACCATGGAGTTATGGCCATTTTCCTTCCTCTGCCTTGAGTGCCCTGCTCTGAAACTAAGGTTTTTTTAAAATATACTTTTCAAATATCATGATCAGAATGCATTTGAAAAGGATACAGGCTCCATAGTGTTCGTCAACCCTAACTAGGGTAGCATTCAAGTGTGACCTTTTGTGAAGGATTCAATTGGAGTTGGGAGGAAAACATCTCTAGTGTCTTCTACTCCATCCTTAAGGGTGATAATTGGATGAAGGACCTCCAGACCACATGGAGGTACCATTTTTTTTTGGGGGGGCTAGAAAATGGCACCATAGATTTCCCCCCCACAGTAAGAGTGACAAAGGTTAAGACCCCCCCCCAATTTAAGTTGAATGAGCTCTCCAGCTGTGGGCCTTCACATTAGGGCATCTCACCTGGAGCATGGCCTAGATGCCAGTACACAATAAATCTTATCCGTCTGCCTCTCCTGAGGCTTCCCATCTCTTTCAAATACATCAGTAGTCTGATAACAGCAAGAAGGTTACTTCAGGGTGTCTGTGGAATGGGGCAAGTCATAGAGTGCATATTTGTATACCTGAAGGAGCGTCTCCACCCCCATCGTTCAGCCCAGACACAGAGATCCAGCTCTGAGGGCCTTCTAGTGGTTCCCTCATAGTGTGAAGTGAGGTTGCAGGGAACCAGGAAGAGGGTCTTCTCAGTAGTGGCGCCCGCCATGTGGAATGAACTCCCTTCAGATGTCAAGCAAATAAATAACTCTTTGACTCTTAGAAGACTTCAGGGAAGTTTTTAAAGTTTGATGTTTTATTGTGTTTTTAATATTTTGTTGGGAGCTGACCAGAGTGGCTGGGGCAACCCAGTCGGATGGGCAACATATAAATAAAATTACTGCTAGTGCTACTACTACTACTTGAGGCATGGGCAGAGGGCCTGTGTGCACTGCTTGCTTTTATGCCCTTCACCTACTCCTGCTCCTTCAAGCCTGTGCAAAATTAACAAGGTCTCCCTTTCCCCCCTTTTTGCTTACAGGATGACATGATGGAGGACACACCTCTTTCCCTCTACAGTTACTAAGCAGTTGGAAGACAATTTTCCTATTGTGATTCTGATTCTGACCAGCCAAGGGAGGTGTAAAGGCTTCTGACCGGGAAGAGCATCCTCTGCAAGATGCTGTCCTGATTTCCCATGACTATAAAGTTGTGAGTCAGCTGACTTAGTCTACAAAGAGACTTGTTTTTTATTTCTTTTTTGGGAACTGGCACCAGCCTGACCTAGTCCTTTCCCTTGTACCTTTGTGCTCCTTGTGCCTTGTGTCCAGAGCCATACAGCTCTCGGGGAAATGGACTTTCGTTCAGTGACCGCACTAACTCTTGTTCACATTGCCAAGGGAGGCCTTGCTTGGATTTTGAAGAGCTGCGCTGTGGGATTCTTGCACAAGAAGTGAAGCAGCTGTGGGGGCGAGTCAGGCCAGCGCAAAACCGCGGAGTATGTTACATGTGAAAGGAGATGCAACCCAACTGTGATTTGGAGGGCTAGTTGGCTCCTTCCTTGAGTTTTACATATATACTTTTAAATTGCACTTCTATTTACACTTTTTATCAATCGGATCCAAAGGTGTTCCAGAGGGTCTAGCAGGAAAACAAGGAGCAGTGACCCCATATTTGCTATAAGAGCCCTGATCCACCAAAAACCATTCAGCCCATCATTCTGCTTCCCATATTGATCAGTCACAAGCCTCCAGGAACCTTGCAAACAGGGTTTGAAGACATTAACCCTGACCCAAAGTTGTTCCCTAGCAAATGGTCTTCAAAGATATTGCATAGCCTTACTGCGGAAGATGTGCTCCAGCCCTCCAATTATTGCTGTATTTCAGCAGGAATAAAAGCAGTTTTGATTCAGACAACACTGTTTGGGGGAAGCAGTTTATTTTTGGAGTTTCTCCAGAAAATTCTGCCACTGTTCTTGGTACCAAGGTGTGGCACAGGAGATGCCCAGCAATTATACCAGCCCAGTTGTGCCCAGACGCTTGTCCAACAACAGCTCAGATCAATGGGACACATATGTGTACTCAGTGCTGCCACTGGAAGCTGTATCTAACTGTTGTATCGCTTGCTTGTTTGTTAGATTCATATTTAAATAGTCCTGGCAACCGTCTGCGTGTGGACTCTTGGCAGTTACCTCCTGCTGTTTGCACAGAGCGTTCATTCCCCACCTTGTCCTCTCCTGTTACTTCTTTACCCGCTAATCCTAGAGGAATTGCTTGTGCCTTGTTTGGATGAAGAAATCTAGAACCAAAGATGGGGCAGACCAATTAAGCTGCAGTGTCCCTTTTATGTCTGCATAGGAGTGTACCTTTTATTTCTTCATTTAAAATTCTCTTTATTCCACCCTGTATCCTCTTTTCTCCAGCTGTTTTCTGTTTCTCCTGTTCTGTTTCCCCTCACTTCCTCCACCTGACATCTCTCATTTACATCTTTAGCCTTCTGAAGGCTTTTCCAGAACATAACACCTTTGTGTTTGGACTGTTGATTGTGGGTCTACAAATAAATTGGTTTTCCTCTAAATAGGCTTATTTCCTTTCTTGCTTGAAGCTTCTCAAGTTGTTAGTTGGATGAGATAGGAGCCTTTGCTCGGGTTTTCTGCAACACCCCCAATTTGCATCCCAGCAAACTGGAGGAATTATGTTGCTGCTTCCCCTTCACACGCCTGTATAAAATAAGGAACAGCATAGATTATTCAAAGAAGAGCTAGAGAGAGCACGCCAGGAACAAAGAAAAAGCTCTAAAGGTTACTCTTTAAATCCTTACACACACCATCTGATTTGTAAAAGGGAATTTTTATTCAGTGGGCAATCATGCAGGGGAATCTCACTGTGGCTAAAGGGACTAGTTCTAAGAACTTGGGTTTTTCTTGATCCATCATTCCAAGATAGGGGTACCCCAAACATTTATCTAGTTAGGAAAGCTACCTCTGATGGACGTTTGAGAACCTCCACAGTTAAAACGCAGGGTGTCACACCCTTGGGCTTTTCAAAGGCCTGCAGAAAGTTGAGTATTCCATGTGATGCCCCTAAGAAAGGGGTTGCTCAAATGCTCCCCCTGAAGTCTGCAGAACTGCTCTAGAAGTGAGTAGGACTTGTAGCCACAACTGATGGACTAATGCAGATAAAACCCCAACAAGCCTGAAAGATGTTGATAGTGTGATTCAGGTTAGTTTTGTTAGAAGTCTGTGCCACTGAGATTAATAGGGCTCACTCTAATGTGTGTCAAGGACTGCAGCCCTGCTTGCTAGATAACTGCTAGGCAGGAAGCACATTCATAGAATTGTTTAGTTGGAAGGGACCCCAAGGGTCATCTAGCCCAACCCCCTGCAATGCAGGAATCTCAGCTAAAACATCTATGACGCAGGGAGACAACATTTGCTTACTGATCGATGCAGGCTCAGTACACAACCCAAAGTCCTTGCACTAACCCTAACAGTACGTCCACTAAAATAAAACTGTATTTTCAAAGCCTGCAGGCAAGGGGGATGCAGAGACATACGAGTCTGCAGGGAGGCTATTTCATACTCTGTCATGCTAAATGTGTGTGTGTGTGTGTGTGTGTGTGAGAGAGAGAGAGAGAGAGAGAGAGAGAGAGAGAGAGAGAAAGAGAGTCTCATCCCCTCCCTCTGTTTTCAGAGGGCCTCAAAGAAAGAGTGAAGTTCCTGGGCAGGCTTGCCTCAGAGACTTCTGCCCCTGCAAAGCTGCACCCTTCTGCTTTGTAGCTGAATGAATGTTAACACTGCAGTTCCCCAGGGGCTAGCCCCCAAAAGATATTTGAGGTTTCGTTGCACAAGCAAGGAGTCTGTTTGACAGAGCCACAATGGGCAGCGTGCCAGATCCTTATAGGTCTCTTTGAAGGCAGCACAAGCCTTTGATAGCTCCTCTGGGTTGTTGCTTTTTTCACCATTCCAGGCTGCATAATTATGTTCATTACGAAGAGGCTAGAAATCAATCTCGGCGGCTTACCTTTGAAGCTAGAAAATGGGTGGGGCAAAAACCCAGATAAAAAGAAATCTAAGCCAAGCCACTTCCTTGTGGGAGTGTGCGTTCATGTGTCTGTGGTGAAACAATAAAATAGTGGCCATATTTATATGCTGTATGGTGCCTATAAAGCCAGCCAGAGCTGAAGCTAGTTTTTTCTGAAAGGTCCCAGACTCTTAACGGCCAGTGGAAAAGTTTGTCAGCAAAGCGAGTTCCATGCTATGTAATGAGTGAGGGTGGGGGGAACTAACAATGTACAAGGCAGCAATCCGACCCCCAATTTTCTGGGCACAAGGCACATTGAACTCAGCAGAACTTGCTTTTGCATAGGCACACACACAGGAGTGTGCTGCAATGTATTACATTAGTGTAAGTCAACTACAGCAGTGCAGGTGAACTTGGACTTCAGGTATATCTAGAGCAGGGGTTGCCAGTCTTTATGGGTACAAATGCAAACTGGTGAAACTTTTGTTGCCCATCTTGAAGGGGAGATGTTTAGGAACCATGTGCTCTTTAAAGGGGTAGTATAAAAGCAGAACAACACAACACATAGGGCTGAACAGCCCATTCCATTTTACATTATTCATGCATTACAGATGCAGGGAGTCAAGAGCAACTGTGACTTCCTATTGTATGTACACATGGCAGCAAAATGTTCATCACTATATAATGTGTGAAGCAGGCCTGAGCTATTGCTCTGGAAAAAAATGTAGTTTGGGCTTAAAGTAACATTACCGCACTGTTAGTTTACAGGCAGCGCTGGCCAGACATATTTTGTCAAGCCAAGTGACTGCCCTGAACAAGCCCATCTTTGTATCCTACCAGCCCTGCATCATAGTGCAAGGGATTGTGGACCACCCCTTTTTACACACTGCCCCTTTAGCATCCCTGCAACTCTCACCATTCCCTGCAACTCTCACCATTCCAACTACGTCATTTGCTTGTGTGATCAGGCTATATTCACTGCCAAAATGAAGAGGTGTCATTTGGGAGCTCCTTAAGTACTTTGGTCTCTAGAAGCATTGATTTGAGATTCAATTTGCAGAGAGAGAGATGCAGTTGAGAAAGTTGTTTATAATAATAATAATAAATTTTTATTTATACCCCGCCCTTCCTGGTTCAGAAAACTGGGCTCAGGGCGGCTAACAATAAATTTAAAACACTTACCGTTATTGATGCAACAAAAAATAGCATAAATACAGTATAAAACGTGAACAATAAATTCAGATTTATAAGAGTCTTAAAAGGTAATTTAAAGAGGACAACATACTATTGTCCCTGAAGGAACCTGAGAGAATGCTCTTTATTGTTATATAGCTGAATGGATAACTTAACATGAATGTAAATGCCCTTGATACTTCATGGTTCAGTCAGTGGTTCCCTGCAAGCCCAGATTCTATTCTTCTTCTGTAGTTCACCTTTAAAGCACAGCAAGCCAAAGCACTGGAATCTAGGTTAGCTAGCCTTATAGTGTTACATAATAACAAGGCTATTGTTATGACATCACTTAGTAAAAGCAACCACAAGGTTTTTTTTACTTCAAGCCAATACGCATACTCAGATTTAAGTTTTATTTTTAAAGATGCTTAAAAGGTCACTAGCCTCATGAAAAGCTCCATTTTTTCCCTAACAGCGGCTTAGCAGCCAAGTTTTAGATGAGAAATATGCCTGCTGCATCCATTAACCTTATCAGCTCTCATCTTTAGATTTTGCTTTCACTAAAGCAAAAAACAAAACAAAAACACAACCTCTATGTTTCAAACTTTCCTGGACAGGCCTCTTTTACAGTTAAACTGTTCTAAAATGTTAGTATTGTCTGCCCCATGGGCATCAAGGGTCATTTTGCTTCTAGTCAAATTCCCTTACAAAGCTGAGTTTGTCCTTTATTAGCAGCAATGCGCTTGTTTTGACATTGTTATAGGTCAGCAGCCCCAGGTGGCATCTTCTTGTGTTTCTCTCTTCATATTAACAGAGTACTGCAGTACAGGCAACAAAGAAGTTTGGGGCAGAGGCAAGACAGCCCATAAGGAGCCCTCTTTCCTAAAGTTCATTCCCCAAATGCCAGTGCTGCTTCCTCCATAACTAGAATGTATTCTAATACATGCCAAGATAGTGGACTAAAGAGCTAATATTTTGTTCTACAATAAGTAGTAAAATTAATATTTATGATATAATGTAAGTTCTACATGAGCACTATCCTATAGTATGCGTATTCTCTACAATAGTTGATTACAATGCAAAGACAGACTAAATCAGAACAGACTGAAAAGTAATTTGGTTACCACAATCTTTTATTCCTTTCCATTTATAAAAGTTTAAGTTCCAGCAAAACCCAGTGTTCCATCAGCTGAGCAGCATCAAATTTGTTGGTGAATACACACGATTTGGTCCCACAAATACAGTTAGTTACATGCTTTGTGACAAACTGTGCTGTCTAGAGATCATTAATTAAAGACTTCTCGGCCTATATTTCTTCAGCCCTAAAAACAAACCAGTGTGTTATGAGCAGCCCAGAACTAATAAGCTCTAGGAGCAATCACTGCTTGCCAGCACTCTTTGAACTATAATGGAGCATCTGTTGATTTAATCCCCTGTGGGCTAATTCCCCTCCCCTTGCCTTTAATCGTTTTTCCTTCTGAAGTGTTTTTACCCTGAAATTGGACATGCTGTCTACTGCATATGGCCCTTTGAGGGATTCCTCTTAACACAGGCTTCCCTAGTTGGTTTTGTATTTTGGGGTGGGAGGTAGTAGGAGATACACTTTACTTAATGTTCTAACATGTTATACACACAAGCTCCAGCTGCTACACTATATTGTCTGAATAGGATGGGGAACTTTATTAGTTGTAACAGGTTTGAGCTTTTAATTCAGGCATTGACAAGGGAGGAAGCAGCAGCCATTGATGTGATTCCAGATCAGTAAACTGGCACCCAGTCTTCTGAAAGTCCAGGCCAGGAGTTTCAGAATAACTGTACTGTACAGGAAAGCTTTTAACACTTACTCATCCAGGTCTGTCATATAATTCCAGTTTTTACAAGAGTTACCAGGTCCAGACCTGAATATCTTCTCCATAACTTTAAGAATTTTAGGATATTGAGGTAGACAGGATCACTTTTGCTCAATACAGTGGGTGAACAGGCTGCCCTTTTCACTGATATGGAGTACAACTTACTACCAAGGCAAGAAAAAGCAAGCCAACAGTTAACTGAAACAGTAGGGAAGAATGTGCAACTGCTGCACATTCTCATTATCCTAATTGTGCTGAAGAGCAGCAGGTAGCCCCCAAGTAGCGAGTGATTCCCCACCAACAAAGCTATGGCAGAAGGTATATTTTGTGCAGCAAATTAATGCAATGAAGCCCTTTTTATTTATTTTTAATGTGGAGGCTGCAAGTGTGAGGAGAGGAGTAATGGGAGCTACTTAACATTTTCCTTGCATGAGTTGTTTCCACTAAGTATTGCCCTCTACAGGTTTTCTGCATCTGGAGCTATGCGTGTGTGTGTGTGTGTGTGTGTGTGTGTGTAGAATAGTTAGGGGGCATTTTTAAAACAAATAGCTGGCAGTCACATGGCCCCTGTCCCAATACTCCTCTGCTCAAAATGGCAGCATTCCACAGCTGCCTTTCAAATAATAAAAAAACCCCAGGATTTTACTATATGCATTTCCTATATGTCTTGGCTAGCAAGTGGTTGATGGATCTCATTCTATGTGAGTTTCTGCTCCTACCGGTCTTATTCCAAGAAAGGACCAGAGATATGAAGGATATTTAACTAATGCATTGAACTATATTATGCTTTGCCACCTGATCCAAAATTCAGAAACACTAATGCCACTACTACTCAGACCACTTTAGGTCACTGGAAACCATAGTTCACCAGCAGTTCAACCAGGAAGGAGGAAAAAAAAGTTAGCTGCACAAAGTATTTTCCAGATAAGAGAATGCTCCCCACAGGTTTCTTATCACACAGCCAGCCTATCCTAGTCAACTGCTAATGTGGCACATCAGTGACTTGCCAAAGCAGTTTAACATACTATATGCTCCCTTCTTCAGTGTACTGTTTCCATCACTGCTGGTTTTGTCTTAGTGCTGAATCAGGAGCTGTTGTGCTGGCAAGCACCGTGACACAGATTAACAGAGGCTTCCTCAACCTTGGCCCTACAGATGTTTTGAGACTACAATTCCCATCATCCCTGACCACTGGTCCTGCTAGCTAGGGATCATGGGAGTTGTAGGCCCAAAACATCTGGAGGGCTGAGGTTGAGGAAGCCTGGATTAACAGAATCTGGGGTAAAGTGGATTGCTTACCAGAATATTTTCTCTTGCGGCTCAGTCTCAATATTTCATTTTAATATTTAAACACTGCAAATTATGAATGATGAGAATAATCAGTTCCTTGAAGCTGGCCGATACGATCCATATCACACATGCAGGGACCAGCAATGCAACTGTTCCTTTTCCAGAAAGGGACACTGGGAAATCTCTGAACAGAACATATATATACACACAACACACCCTTCTCAGCCCCCTGCATCATACTTGCATGTGCTAATATCACCAGGTCATAGGTTGAGGTTAATACTGTCCTTCTACCTCAATGTTGCATCTGTACAAAAGGCAGCGGAGTGTGTGTGAGAACAGTACGTATGTTTCTCTGCTCTTTAATTTGTTTTCTCATTAGAAAGAATGAGGCAATCCTTAGGTGAAGTTTTAAAGGTTACTCAAGGTGAGCTCAGGAGGAGTGTCAGTCAGCTCACTGCTGAGGTCTTCTGTGTCCAGCGTGCCACCAGCTGCCCCTCCAGGGGTCTTCTTTTCTAGCTTCAAGCCTGGTATGGAAATCTTGTCATCTATAAGTACAATACAAAGTAATTAGCTGACTAATGTGGTTGTTGTTATAACATTTTGCAATTCAACAGTATAGAATTAATAAGCTAGAAAGAAGTGCTTTCAAAAAAAGAGGGGAAGTTTAAAAAAATGAAAAGATTGAAAGAAAACTAGTAGACCACTTTTCTGAGCTACTATGCAGCACCATATTTTTCCATACGTTAAAATTTTAATAAACAAAGTGTTCTCTTCCAGGACCACCACATGTACAGGTGTTAAGTCTTGTATGCAATCATCCACAAGCATCACCTTAGAGCCAGCAGTGAGTATATCTATAAGCTTCCCTTTCATATTTATTACAAGTAGTGTCAAACCCATTTGTCAAGAGCTTCAGAAGAGCCTTCAAGCACCCAGCTATGATGGAGTGATTGGTTTTCCTTTACAAAACCCAAAGGATTACAGTGGTACCTCAGGTTACATACGTTTCAGGTTACAGACTCCGCTAACCCAGAAATAGTACCTCGGGTTAAGAACTTTGCTTCAGGATGAGAACAGAAATCGTGTTCTGGCGGCGCAGCAGCAGTGGGAGGCCCCATTAGCTAAAGTGGTGCTTCAGGTTAAGAACAGTTTCAGGTTAAGAATGGACATTCGGAACGAATTAAGTACTTAACCCAAGGTACCACTGTATTTGGCTCATCCCCTAGGCATGAGCTTGGATGTACAAAATCTTCTGGCAAAAGAAGACTCTACAGAGGGAAACAGCTCTAGTAAAGATCCTTGAAAACACTTTGAGGGCACCAGAACAGAACACAGTAGAAATGTAGCAGCTTCCTTCAGAAAGACTGAGTCACTAGGATTAGGGTAGAGAAAAAGCAAAATGCAAAGAGGTTTAAAGAGAATCTGTACACAAGAATCTTAAGCATCTTAATGAAATAGGGTAAGAATTCCCCTGACGAGAATGTTAATCCCTTTATTCTCAAAACTGAGGGTTCCTCTATGTGGTGCAATATGGCCTTTGATATTTCAGAAACAGAAGAAAAGTAAACACAGCAAGTAGTATTTTCAGTATCAATCCGTTCCTCTTCCAGGGTACTCTGGCAATACTGCAATTCAAAATAAAAACTTGTAGAGATAAACTTCACAGCCCCAGATCAATCACTAGGTAATGGTTTCAGTAAATATTTCAGAGTTACACCCAGGCTCACCAGAAAGTTGTGCAATCTCTGGTTCACTAAAGAGTTCATCTGAGCTGACATCTGTGAGACTGAACTCAGAGGCTGAATCGTCACTGAGAAGGGATGACAAGGTAGCATCATGCAGCAAAACTCTCTTTTTTCCTAGGGGACAAAGTTCAAGGCAGATTAGGGAGACTAGCAGCTCACTTAAAATTCTGAGCTTTTTCTCAAAGCAATGTTTACAACTTAGTAAATGATTGAGTTTGCCCTTACTGTCCAAAGTCCCAATGATTCAAGACAAGACCATGTATGCAATGCCAGTATACTTTTTTCTAATTAAGAGCTTTATTATTTCCATTTAAAATATGGCTGGCACCTGGGTTTATATGTGGAAAGTGTCATGCATACATAGGGCAGGATTCACCTTACTAGTCCTGTTAGTGGAAGCCTATGCAAGGGGGCTTATCTTTTCCCCTAGCACTCCTGAAATTGGTTTCAGCAGCGTTGGGAGAAGCCCCAGGTCAGGGCATGGGGGAAGGAGAGAGAGGGAATTATTCCACCTGGTAAGCTGACATAGTGTGACACTGAATTCTTTCCAAAATTAGTAAAACTGAGAAAAGTGAACTGCTTCTCTGACCATGTATATTTTTTACAGGAGCAGAATATTTCACAGCTGAAGATGAGAGTCTAATGGGTTGTGCTGAAGAAACACTGGTACAATGAGGGCCATTTTACACAATGTTATATTTTCCTTCAAAAAGTTAATATATCCATAGCAAAAAGCAAATACTCTTTCAAGCATCTGAGTGCTTATTTTGCAACAAGACTGACAAATGGATGTGCAGCAGCTGCCCAGTCCACAAACTTGCAGCAAAATGAGCCCTCATGCCACACTTCCCATGTGCACCCATTTTCCTAATCAGAAATGCTCTCAGTGTCAGGTGTTCCAAGAACAAGCACTTACTTAGACGGAGGTTTTTGTCTCTTAGTGGACCAGCGTAGAGTTCATCCTCCAAGTGCAGACCTTTCACCTGTTCTTTTAGGTCAGTAACTGTACTTCTGATTAAAACAAATTCAAAAGCCCACATAAATTATTAGTGCAGATGGAAGAAATATATTTATAAGAGATGAGGCACTCTTGCACCTCATAAATCTGAGCGATGCAGTCAAGTAAGCTCATAAAGCTCTGTGCGATTCACTTAATGTCCGAAAGTATCTGTAGGCAGTGAAATAATCAAGCCTTCAGTTAAAATGGAAATGCTTGATGAGCTAATGAAAAGCAAGCCATGACTGACTTCAGTGACGGAGCAGCTAAGTTTATTTCAATGATATATTCAACGGCTTCTCTGGCGTTGCTTACTTAGAATCATTCATAGATTTGGGAGGAATACAGGGAAATAAGAGGAACTAGAGAGAAAAGAGTTTGATCCTCTGAATTCAAACCACTATAATGTGACTCAGTCACTACAGGTTCTATGAACCTGGGTGATAATTGCTGGAGAATGTTCTTTCATTTCCAAGAGATAAATACTAGGAAATGGACATGTACTGTGCCACTCAGTACATCCCCTCTTATTAGATCCAAGCAGTTCATGGATGAGATTATCAATGTCTACTAAGTCTGTGTAGGCTATGCACTACCTCCAGTCCCAGATCACATGCAGAAAAGTGCTATTGAACTCATGTCCTATACTTGTGGATTTCCCATAGCCATCTGATTGATAGGGCTGGGGAAGAAATTCAATTCACTTTGCATTCAAAGGCAACCTCATCTAATTCGGATTTTCCAAAAAAAAATATGAGAACTGAAATCCAACCATCTTTCCCAATTTGTGCTCCTCCAATTTTTGCAATGCAGTTCCCCAGGCCAGTAATGTGTACAAAAATGCACATACTAAGGTAAAGTGTGCATACAAATGCATATGTTATGGAAAATAACATACAAAAATGTTTATATTATGCAACATTGCATATAAAATGTACATATTACTTAATAAAATCACACTAACACTCTGATTAATTTTCATGAGGTGTTTTTTTTTGGGGGGGGGGGAGATGAAAACTGATGTAGAAATGTGAAGAACTGAACTTAAGTATGGAAAAACAGGAAACTGAAATTGACATCTCTGTCCATCCCTACTGGCTGATCACTGCAAAAACAGAATGCTGGACCAGTCAGACCTCTAATCTGAACCAGCAGGGCTCTTAGGTTCTTACAGTTCAAGGCAAAAGCTATAAAATGCAGCAAGGCAAAAAAGCAAATACTTAATCTCAATGAAAGGGGACAGAAACAGGAAGTAGTGGACAGAGGTAGCTGATGTTTGAAGTGGCATGTTTGTGAGCTCTCTTGATAGAAACCCCTCTCTAAACAGCACCAAGTGTATCATCAAATTCACTGGGCTCGTTCCCAAGTTAACTTAAGGAAGTTCACAGAAGGAAAGTTTCCTGCCTTCTCCAGCCACCTGTGCTCCCTGAAAAGTCAGTCTGGGAGGTCAGGAGCCCTCTTGAGCAATGTGGGATGGGTGAATCACCCCAAACCAGGATTGATCTCAATGGGCTCAATGTAAAGTTAACAGAAGGAACACTTCCCTTTCTCTTTTCCCCAGCAGTCCCATTTCACATTGCTCATGAAGAACTGACCCTACACAGAAGTTGTTTGGGCCTGGGCTGGGGTGTCAAGTGGCTATAGGGAGAAGGGGATGGGAAACATCCAAACCATTGGGTGACTAGGGCAGCCTTCTTCAACCTGCTACCATCCTGTCTGGTCAGGAATTAGTCCAAACCCTCTGGAAGGCCCCAGATTAGGGAAGTCTGGTTTGGGAAGAAAGCAAACTGCTAGCCTTCTGCAGCACCTTCAAAGATTCCTGTCTCATCATTGCCTTTTTGGAGGCTAATGCAATGAATAGGAGGCCCTCTGGTGGACAACTGTCTACTAGCAACCATCTACAACACCATTTTTGAATAAGAGAAACAGTGGTAATAATTTAGCAACCATGCACGTCTCAATCCTGCATTGAACCACGGGCAGCTATCAAGTGAAGCACATACAGCATAACATGTGTTTCCCTACTTGACATGACTAAGTTCCTTCTGAGTGCTCTGGGTCTCAATCCTAGCTTTGTCCAAATCCTTAGTCTGAGCTTTATGACTGTCCTTCAGATCTTCCAGCATCTGGGAATAAGAAGACAGATAACTATGGTTTTAACCTAAGCTTTTAGGGTTAATTTTGTTTTTAAAAGAAATTCCCCCCACAAAAAAAACATAAGCAGGGAGTTAAGAGTGTTTTGGGTATTTGCTTGTTTTTTAGTTTTTAAGTATATCCATAGTTTCCCAGTCATGTATTCTGCTGCAGAGATTAGCATATACCCACAGACAGAAGCAGAATGGCAAACACATGTGACCATATTCCTAATACCACTGCACTGGTTTTTCCAGGCTAGGGAAGCACAGCACAGTGGTATAATGGCCTTAAGAGGTGCCCACAAGTTTCCACAATGTTTGGAAGCAGTACTAAGTCATTAACTATGTTTTAAGCGAATTAGGCTGTGAACAAGCTAAGCATCTGTGTATACAGCTGTAACCCTCCCACTTGACTCCTCCCTCCATGAACAAAACAAACAATGAAATCATTTTGCATTCAAACCAGCACTTCTGGTTTGTCTCCAAATAAAACCTCACAATTTGAAGCCAAGGTTAAATCATTACTTCCCAATAGTGGTTTGTTTGCTCTAAGCCCACACTCTATTTTAATGTGAAAGCTGGAAAGGCAGGACATACATCAAGACTGATGGTGGTGGCTACAGTTCAGGAATCTTTCCATAGCTTAAGAAACCATCATTAGGGAAGGAAGAGTATTTAAACAAGTGGCATCAAAGGTGAATGACTACTTCTTGAACTGAATATTTGCTAGAGCAGCAGGTGGGGCAAATCTTGGCCAACCAGGCTATTTTCCACAAACCATGCCCACCAGTCAATCTGCTGACAAATCCAAGTGGCACCAGCTGATTGTCAGGTGGGCAGGGTTCAATTCTGCCTTGGCTGCGCAAACAGGTACTTGCAACCCTTTACTTCTCAGCTGATAAGCAAAGCTTAACTCCTTCTCATGTTGGCTGTATGAGCAGGCACCACAGTCAAGGCAAGCCAAAAGGAAGGTGCTTTTTATGAGCAGTGAAAGAAAGGAAGAGTTTTCACAAGCCAAGGCAGAGTGCATGAGGGAAAAGGCCTTTGCTTGCAAAATGGCCCTTTCTTCATTTCCTCCTGGACGCAAGGATTTTCGCAAGTGGGCAGGACACTCACCTGTCAATCATGTAACATGTCATAGAATTGACGGGTAGGTTGTTGACCTGCGAGGAGGTGCCAGATAAAGCAAAAAAAGGTTCCTCATCCCTGTGCTAGAGTCATCTAGCTTGTAGGTATAGTGTAATCTTGTTCTAATCTTTCAGTCATCTCTGTCTTGTCTGTCCAATATATTTTAGATATCTGGGGTAGGGACTGCATCCGCCCTTCATGTTCCATGCTGGGCCTAGGACTACTAGCACAAAGTGATTGGGTAGCAGCAGGGAACCTTCTTAACAACGTACCTGACAGTATCTTCTTTGAGTCTTCTTTATCTCATCAGTTGCAGACACTTGGTGGAACAGATCATCCTCTTGCTGATCTAAAGGGTGCAATAAGCCATGTCATTTTCTCAATTCTGTACATATTTCTCTCTTCCCAATGAGGCCCACAGGGCACATAGCCTTTATCCCAATAGTTATTACAGGACAGAGGCCAGGGGAGCAGGAGCATCAAGTAGTACTTGCCTAGTTTGTGCTTCAGGTGTTCCATCTCTCTTTTGATGCACTTATATTCTTGCCACAAGATTTTCTTACTAGAGTAAGAAGGAAATCAGGAACAGAATTAAGACAACAGGGATCACTTTTCTGGATTTACTGCAAAGTCCATTCCAAATTCAGCTGTTTTAAAACATTAACAGTTTTGAAATTTATGGAATTGGCCCCATGCCATTCTGATTCCCAGAGAAATGGTAAGATAGAGCTCAAGCATGCTTGAATTGTTGGCTTTCTATAGGCTAGAAATCACTGAAAAATATATTGCTAACCTACAGGGGTCCACTCAGGTAACACAATTCACTACAAGCAAGTGGTTATTAGAACAGCAACTGTTATTCTTCCCAGCACAGCAGCAACCCCATTCAAGAAAACTTGGCAGAGGCCACAGTTCATTCAAGTCTTTGAAGACATTCTCAAATTGCAAATGACATGCCAACTTTCTTCCAGCAATTAATGATCTGCAGTTGACACTTGGAAAAGTACTGTTCTTTGTCCATCACCACACTATCCCACTCATCTCGAACATCCCTATACATAAAGCAGTTACTTTCACTAGATAGCTCAATTGCTGACCTCTCCCGCATATCTTGCATGATGCCAGGGTTGGAAAAAGGATCAGGAGTACAGTCACCATCTGACTGCTGAAACACTTGCTGCCGAAGGCTACGGAACTCAGTCTTCAGCCCTTCCATCCTGACTCCCAGCACTGAGTCTAAGCTGCCGTGAGAATTGTGCTGCAGTCGATCCACCTCCTCTGCAACATGAAGCAGGACAGGACGAAATTAGCCAACAGTATTCCCCTTGGCTGTTGTGGAGATACAGTGACATTGATGCCCATTCACCATTGGTGCACGGCAGTCTGTTAACCACATTCAAGAGAGGTTTGTCCCCATCAGAATACCATGGAGCTGGCAAGAGTGCTGACAGACATAAATGAAGTGTGGATTCAAGTATGAGGAAGGAGGGAGGTGAAGTGGCTGGATTCTTAGCTACCATGACATATTTCTCATAACAGGGTTATCAGCTAAGCAAGAGAAGAATCTTCCAACAGTTTCATTGGGGTTTTGTTCATTTCTGGGTCCAATTAAAAAATGCTAATTATTATCACTCACTAAAATCTGCTGGAGGGACTCTCCTTCATGTCTCAGTGATGAATTATGTTAGGCTGGACTGCAGCACAAACCCACTCTGCATTTGCACCAGCTATGGGGAACTTTTTTTATGTCCACCCTGCTCCATCCCATTAGCTTCTAAAGATGACTCTTTTGGGAGTTGTTGATGTTTGAAACCTCCTGAACTGAGGCATTTTCTGTGCATGCACGCTCTCTCCCATATTGTGCTTTTACCTTGTATATTTCTCAAACTGTAATTGTAAGCTGCTTTGAACATTTTAATACAAAAAGCAAAAATAGAAAAATACACGTTTTAAGTAAAATAAATAAAACTTGTGCTCTTTTAGGTGCAACTTGTTTGAACACATCAGAGAAAGGGCAGTCTGGCAGAGGCAATGCCAAACTGGACAAATCTCTTATACCCTCTAGGTGACTGATACTCTGCTGCTGCAGTTCCTTCTCCTGTTTCAGCCGATGTACTGCCTGGGTGAGGGATTCTATGACCTAAGAGAAAGAAAGGAGGACCAGAGTCATGGGAACAGCAAATGCCATCATAAGAAAGAAGCCCTCAAAATCTTAGGCTGGAACATAATATACTAGAAAAACTAATCCTAACCAAATTGTTGGTTTGAGAACGTGTATTATTTCCTGTTACATGATTTACCGTAAATCTCACATTTCCTCCAAGGAGCAGGGGTTGGAATTCATGGAATTCCCCACTATTCTAACTCCACGACAATCTAATGATGCAGACTAAATTGAGGCACAATGGCTGGGCCAAGGTCTCACAGCGAGTTTTATGCCCGAACAGCAATTTACAACCCAGATCTGTCTGCTTTAAGTTCAACCATCTACTGTATGGCACTATCTTCTCATGTGCAAGACTTTGCATGTGGTTTTGCTGGTGTATGCACCCAGATGTATTAGCAAAGCTTTTCTCTACACCATAGCATAGTAGCTTGCGCATCATTTCAGTGTCACTTACCTGGGCTTGGGAATGCAATTGCTTGCTGATGGCAGAAAGCTCATCAGCAGCCATTCTACAGCATGAGTGAGCTCCACATGTGAAATGCAGGGGTGGTGGTCCAGTCTGTTGCTCAGTCAGAGCAGCACTCTCAGTATTTATTCTGTCTAGCAAGAGATCAGCTGTTGGGATGGAAAGGAACAAACCTGACTGGTCCACCTAGTATGGAAACTGTCAAAAGTATCTACCTACATTGCTTGCTCTCTAAATCACCTCAATTGCACAATACAGCCTACTCCGCTGTGCTATTTCTTGTCCACGTGTGCTCTTGGACATATAGCCCCTGGTATAGAATTCTTTCCTTTTAAGTATTCAGCTTGTTACCTCTTACTCTCACTTTTAAGAAATTAAAATATTCTCCTGGGAGTCTATTGGATTCCAACCCTCTCCCTACTCAAAAGTTAATTATTGTAGGCTTTTAACTCTCTTCCCTTTTTTCCCTTTTATACTACCTCCCTGTGATTTGGGCAGGAATTTGCTATACTTTCCTGCTTCACTTCATGCATATTAGGTGCTTTTATAAATAGCAACCAATGGTGTAGAAGTGAGTTTAGTATCATTTTTTTAAAAGCAAAGCCAGAGATGGAAAAGGGAGAAAACAGAGGTGGGGGTGGATGTGTAGGGTCAAAGAATCACCTCGATGGACCAGACCGAGCTCCATCTAGCCTTTCATTCAGTTCGCAGGAACAGCCAGTTAGTTAGATGCCTCTAGGTGCTTATAAGCAATACATGAAGGCAATTGCCTTCTTTCACTGTTTGCTCCCAGGATTTATATACACTAGAATCAGTAAAGAGCTCTCTAATCTCAAAACTTCAGAAATTCAAAGTATGAAAGAGATGTTTCTTTCTGGAAAAGGTGCTTTAGAATTATACAATGCAGGTCAATCATTCTTACCTTTGGAAGAGATGCTGGAAGTGTTCAGACGTTGCTGGAACAAAAACAGAAGATGGGACAGAAAGTTATAACACTGTTTTGAATAAACAGTGGAAAGATTAACACTTGAGTGTATGAATGCACACTGCTTCCACCGAGGGATGCTACATGAAATTTAAGTTAGAAAGTACTGCATAAACACTTGGAGAGGAACTGACAAGACAAAACATTCTCATTCATCATTATAGTGCCTTCAATGGACAGGACAGTAAAATACACAGAGCAAGGTAAATCTGCACAATGTCTTAATGCCACATTTTCCAGGCAACGACAGCAACTGTCATTTGCTAACTTGGCCAAAGATCAAAGAAGCATTCCCATACCTTTATTTATAAGATTTCAAAGCTGCTTTTTAGCTGCCATACCCAAACTGGTGTACAAAATAGTCAATGTATCTTAAATTCACAGGCTAAAAATAGCAAAACTACGATAGCAATACAAGCCCAGAACTAAACAGTTTAACAGCAAGAACCAGGTAGTAAGGGTGATTTCTAAAAGCAGAACAAAATTAATAAAAACCCACAAAAATGGTTTTACCTGTATCCAGAATGTCATGGAACAGAGTCAAATGAACAGCTCTTAGAAGTTAGCTCCAAAGCTCAGAAAAACCCTGCAGATCCACATGGATCCTCAGGATTTTTGCATTGGGTCACCCCAAATTCACCATCAGATCACATAGCATGTCCATGGCTACAGCCTGCACCAAAAACACACACACATCCACTGTTTCGTGGGGCCGCAATGGCACAAAAACGTGGTTACAAAGCATGGATCCACATGGATTCTCAGGATTTTTGCATTGGGCTACCCCAAACTCACCGTCAAAACACATGTCTGTGGCTACAGCATGAACCACAAAAATCATACATCCACTGTTTTGTTCAGAATATTTTTTTTCTTGTTTTTCTCCTCTAAAAACTAGGTGCGGCTTATGGTCAGGTGCGGCTTATGGAGCGAAAAATACAGTAATAGCCACCTTTAACAATCAATAGCAAAACACTCAGCAGATTTTATTAAAGACTAGTTCTTGGAAACTATCATCAACACATTTCCCCCTTGCAGAACACAACTTTGGTGTGATCAACTTTTAAATATTTAGCAGCATACACACCCCTTGTTCAATTACACTAGACACTTTTCTTCAACCAGTATGTTGCTCCAAACAAAACTTGCCTTAATTTTTGCCATGTTGCTGTCTGCTGCAGTCAAGAGAGAGCTGAGCTGTGTGTCCCAATCCATGCTGTTAGCAAAAAGATGTTTTAACAACTCACTGGTTGCCCAACTGTAACCCGGGAAGAGTCCTTGGCTAGAAAGAAATCCCAGCAGGAGAGAAGAGCGCCTGCAAAAGCAGCAGGAGACGGTTTATTTTTCTCCCGTGAGCAACGCTGAATCTCGTCATAGCAAAGGAGGGGTGGGGTGGGGAAGGTACAGACTTGGAAATGCAGACACTTTTGCAGAAAGACTGCCTAACAAGTTTCCTTCAAGTCACACACAAAAATGCCTCTTAAGGGAATGCAGCATCAGACACCCAACATCTCTGGGACAGATTCACAAGCACCTTTTAACTACTGTGCCAACAGTTTAAAGAGCACAGCTCTAAAGCACAACGCTCTGGAGGCCCATAAACTCTTTCAACGATAGACCACGGCTCTCTAGGGGCAGAGATAACCAAGCAGTTCCTCAGCAGAGGGGAAATGGAAGCGGAGGCGCCCTCTTCCCACCCCCGTCCTTAGAGACTGCGGCCAAGAGCAGCCCCTCCTGGGAGGTCGCTTCCTGGTGTGTCCGGGATGTGTTCTGGAGCGCTGGGCGAGAGGGTCTCCCTCGGCCGGTCCCACAAGGGAGCGTGGAACACCCCGCCCGCCTCAACCCAGCCACGGCCGGTGGTGGCTCCAGTCTGGAGGGCTGGCTCAGGACCCACGTCAGCCTCCCCGCTATGAGGACACCCAAGCCAGGCCCCACTCACTAGCGCTCCCGGCTGCCCCGACCAAACGGAGGCCAAGGGAATGGAGGGCCGGGGGCGAAAAGCCACGCCGGCCTTGCCTGGACCCGCAGCCAGACCCCCTCTCCGAAGGCAAAGGATTCGAACACGCACGTCCGAAACCGCTAAAAGCCCCGAGGCAGGTTCCGCCTTCCGTTCCGCCGCGGAGGTTTCTGGAGAGGAAAGTCCGTAAGGCCCAGCGGCTACTGTGAGGGGGGAAGTCACCGGGACTGCATTTCCCGAAAGGCTCTTCGCGCCCCAAAGCGGGGGGTGTCGGGAAAAAGCGTCCCGGTTCCTTATTGGGAGAGGCGCGCGGCCCGTCGCTGCGGCAGCGAAACGCGCTGCCCGCGGGAGGGAGGGAGGACTCGGCTCTCGTGTCCGGCGCGTGGTGTGGGTCCGCCTTACCTCATGGGAAACTACATTTCCCACAGTACTCCGCGCTCATGCTATGATGGAGCTACGCGTGGTTGAGCTGGAGAAAAGGATCCGAGATCACTTGGAGAAGCTGGGCTTTGAAATCCACCCGCTTAAGGTACTGCAGGAGGGGTGCAGAGTTGGGGGAAGCGAGTCGAAGCGAGGAGGGGGAAATAATCGGTTTCTTAATTGCATGTGCTTCTTCAGACATATGGTTGGCATGCTGGTAGGGCAGAGCGGCGTTGCATAAGTGTTAACACTGACCCCTGCGGACCCAGAAGGAATATAGGTGCTGTGCTGTAGCTCCACACGGATTCATGTGGTTCATCGTGCCTACTTTGGTTCGTGATTCTGCCATTCTGGTCATATTGCTCCGCTGTTGCATTGTAGTTGCTGCTCCTTGTATAGTATCAATTTCTCGTGTGTGGCTGCTACCATTTTTTGGTGCCATTTGACGTTCTGCTGTTTAAATATGCATTTTTTAATAATGCGTGAAATGTTCTTAAAATAAATATGTGGGATGCAATTTTCATTTTTATTGCATAATCTGTTATTTTTGCAACATGGACATCTGAAAGGCTACAAGTAAGCTTGTTAGTGTTGTTTGTGAGCGAACATTATAGGCTGCAAACCATTAACAATCTCAGACATCAGGCACCATCTGATATACTAGCAGATCTTTTTATGAAAAAAACCCCTGTTTCTCTGGTTATGTGCCAAATCATTTTTTTACCCATTGTTTCCAGAAGTGTTCCATTTCTTTTACTGCCCTGTGGGTTGCATTCCAGGATACCATTTTATATTTACCCAGAAGTTTAAAGAATAATTGTATTTCTGAAATCCAGGTATGTAATATATCAGAGTAGATACAAATGAGATTAGATACAGAGAAGGAATAAAGCACAATAATGTAGAAAGTGGGGTATAGCTGGGAATGTGGCCAACAGTAGCTGGTTATAAAGATGAATGTCAAGTTCTGTTGTCTAGGAAGTTAAAGATTAACATTGAATAGATTCAACTAGTGTGAAGTTGAGGCATGTCCTACCTGTGAGTTAAATATTAATCAGGGTAGAGGAAGAAGAAAAAAGCAATTTTCTCTTTTAGGCCCATCAAATCCTGACATTCCTGCAAAAACGTATTCCTGGCTTTCTGTGGTTTAACTATACACAGTTGCAGCTGTCCTCAAGCATAACTCTTGCATGAGACAGAGAAGTCACATGACTGAAATGAGTACATTGTGATTTGCCAAAGAGGCAATCAGTGCTAGAGGCTATAAAACAAATCTCCAATAAGGCCTAGAGGCTCTAGAGAAGAAATTAAATCCATCAGTATGACAGTGTGTTCTCATAGGAGGTGCAAATGCTAATAAACTCACTGGACAGCACAGTGTGATGGGAAACAGGAGATGCAGGTTCAAGACCTGCCAGGGCACTGATCCTCATAAGGCTTGGTTTCCAGACCCTTGATCTTCTGGATCTCTCTTCTCTTGATCTGGAAACTATAATCCTGTTGATGCAGCCTAGAACAGCATTAGCTTTTTTTTGCTGTTGCATCACACTGTTGACTGATGTTAAGCTTGTGGTCTACTAAGACCCCTAGATCCTTTTCACATGTATGGCTTACTAGTCTGGTATCCCCCATTATATATTTGTGCAGCTGGTTCTTCCTGCCTAAGTGTAGAGCCTTACATTTGTCCCTATTGCAATTCACTTTGTTAGTTTTGTCCCAGTTCTGTTAAGGTCATCTTGAATTCTGATTCTGTCTTCTGTGGCATTGGCTATCCCTCCCGGTTTGGTGTTATCTGCAAATTTGATAAGCATCCCCTCAATTCCTTCATCCAAGTTGTTTATAAATATGTTGAATGACAATGGGCCCAGAACAGAACCCTGCAGCACTTCACTTTTATCCAAGATGATGAGGAACCATGAATGGGCTGTCTTTGGGTTCAGTTAGTCAACCAGCTACACCATCAACTATTGGAAGTGACCCTAGCTGAGTGAAAGGTGAAAAATGCTTAGGGAGAGGGACTGTAGAGAAAGGTCTATGACAGATGTAGGACGGAGTCGGGGCCACCCATACTTTGGGTGTTGACATCGTTCTTTAGACATAATCAGAGCAGGTTTATGGTGAAATGCACTTGGAGGCAGTAATGCTTCTGAATATCTGTTGCTGGAAACCACAGGAGGGGAGAGTGCTATTGTGCTTGAATCCTGCTTGCTGGCTTCCCACAAGCATCTAGTTGGCCTCTATGAGAACAGGATGTTGGACTAAATGGGCAATTGACTTGATCCTGTAGGCTCTTATGCATAAAATTGCCACCTGAACAGTTAGTTTTTGCTGGTGTTATTAAATTTATTACCCACCCTTCACCAGCAGGTCCCAGGGTGGGTTGCAATTATTTAAAATTAAACATTAAAAATACTGAAAACAGATTACAACCACAAGAATAAGGTGCCTTCTTAAACCTATATCTCAAGTGTCAAAGACCAAGATCAAGAGTTGTGTTGATCCCTCAGTTCTAAGTATTTGTTTGTTTATTTTTCAGCAACATTTATATGCTGCTTGCAGTAAAACCTCTAAACAGCTTAAGCAGTTTACAAGAAATGTTAACATTATCAATAAAAACAGTTAAATATAATTAATACTAACAGTAAAAAGATTAAACGCATCAATACCTACCTATCTGGATAGGCTTGCCTAAAGAAAAATGCTTTAAGTGGATCCCAAAAAGAGTACAGTGAAGATGCCTGCCCGGAAAAGGTCAAGTGGGGTAAAATGATTCCGCAAATAAACCAGTCTCCAGCTGTTAAGGACTTTATATACCAATAGTAACACCTTGAACCTGGCCTAGTAACAAATTGGCAATCAGTGCAAATCTCTGGGCTGCAGTGTTTTATGCTGACAGCACCTCCCTCTTGTGAGCAACCATGCTGCAGCATTCTACACCAACTGGAGTTTCTGGGTCATGCACAAGGGAAGCCCCACATAGCATGCATTGCAGTAATCTAAGCTTGAAGTCACCAGTACCTGATCTACCATGGTCAAGCTCTCGCAGTAGAGAAATGGTCATAGCTGTTGAACCAGGTACAGTTAATTAAAGGCACTTCATGTCACTCAGGCTACCTGGGCCTTCAGTGACAAAGCTGGATTCAGAAGCACACCCCGCCCCCCAGCCTGTGTACCTGCTCCTTCAGAAGGGAGTGCAACCCTGTCCAAGCCTGGCAAATGACCAATTTGTCAGACCCGGGAACAACTCACAGTGCCTCCCATCTCGCCAGGATTCAAGCTCAACTTATTTTTCTCATCCATCCCACCACTGCATCTAGCCAACTACAAGCTCCATCATTCATTTTGCTCTTACTTATTTCCAGGTAGTACTTCCAAAACCCTTTTTGTGGTCTCCTGCTGCTCATGACCCCTGCTGCTTGTTCTGCCTTCTAGTTGCTGATCTTTGGGCATGAATCACATGGTTAAACTGTAGGCCCTAGGCTTCTTGTTTGCTGCTGCTCACAACCCTTGTGACATCATAAGGAGCAGTGATGCTGTGTGATTTTAGCCTATGTCAGAGGTTGGACTGTGAACTCTAAATTAATTGAGCTCAGTTATTGCAGTCTTAATTTCTCTACAGCAATTTGATGGATGGTAGAAATCAGAATTTAGCTGACGTCTCCATTTTATTTTATAATAATTATATCTTATTGGTTTTTTAAGTAACAATTTCCCATTGGTATCTCATGACATCATATCACATTAGGTTCCAGGCAGGTAAAGCTGCAGTGCCAAATTGAAAAGGAAAAATTAGAAAGACACTCTAAAGTGTGCTCATAATTCTTCCTCTGCAACCACGGATTTAAGGTTGAATTACCTGCTTCTTGCATCCCCCCGCCTTTGGAAAAGCAACAGCAAGTTCTCAATCCTTTGAAAATCTGAAACCTTGAGAAACGCAGTGAAGCACAATTATGCAACTATTTGTACGGTAATTTGTGTTGCTTTCTATGTGGTGTTGTTGAGTTTCCTTGAAAGACTCACAGAGTTCCAGGTAGGGAGGTAAAGACATGTGAAGATTGATTTGCTTCTAAAAGCTGTATCTTAAAACCTACATTGCTCAGAGTGTACTCCCATCAGTTTCCAGAATCCAGGCTAACTGTAATTATATTTTCTCTGTTCTGAAGGTAGGGTGGTACAATGCGGTCCTTTCTCCAGCTTTTCAGTTGCCCTACTTGGATGACACTCTGGCATTTGTGGTGCTCAGCACTCCTGCTATGTTTGACAAAGCCTTCAAACCTTTCTTGAGGAATGGGCCACTGAAAAAGATTCGTGACCCTGTGGACCAGTGCATTTCTCATCACCTCACATTGCTTAGGGAGGTAAGAGATTTTGATGCATACAGACAAGTCATGGAGAGAGTAGCTATATACGCTTTCCTAAAGTCAGCCCCATTGAACTCACTGGGGCTTACTTCTAAGGAGGCATGTCTAGAAATGTAATGCCAGTTCCCTATACCTTGGGAAAAGACAAAATATTTGGGTGGTCATCCTTGTTCCTTTTTAACCAAACAAGAAATAGAGTATAATCCATATTGTGTTTTGGGGATGGAGTTACTGCTTATATTTTTAACTGGGATTGGGAGACACAGGGGCTAAAGGCCGTTCTACACATTACACTGAAAGAGATGGTAGACTTTTGTACAGTACCTTTATAGATTGCATATTTAACGCTGCACTGTATAAAAAATGAAACAACAAACCAAAGCCCTGTATTCTGGGAGCTTTCTACTTACACAAGCATTCCGAAACTTGACACACCAACCCTCCTGCAATCTGAAGCAATTCAATCCAGAATTCTACCGTTGCCACCTCCTTCTGTGTGATGTGTAGAATGGTTTTTGGTAACCAATATTGTAAATAACTTGCAAAATAAGTGTCAGTCCTAGCAAGTATTGTTTGGAAAAATTGTTTTGTGGGTAAAGGGGGTCACTGAGAACTTGCTTTATTATACTGCAATAATCCAACCTCACACTGATCTAACTGAGCTAAACTTTCCATGGGATTTTGATTTTTTTCAAAATAAGCAAGCAGTAAATGATGTACTGTTGTTACGATGGTGGCTTTGTGTCATGTGACATGGTTTCCCTTTGTATGGCTTCAGTTTCCTGTCTGCAGAATAAAAATGCTGAGTGGTGACGTTGCAGGGGCATTATAAGGAGGCAAGTGTGCAAACACAATGCCATTCATTGTGAGAACGTCCTTGCACCTGGGCTAGGAAACACTGTTGAGTAGTGGCATGGCTATGCACAAAGCCAGCAATGGCTTCTGTGTCTCTAGCATGGGACGATCTAGCTTTGTTTTCTCCATTTCACCTCCCCTGCAGTCACCCAACTTCACTATACAGTGGTACCTTGTGTTACGGATGGGGTCCGTTCCGAAGGCCTGTCCGTAACATGAAAAGCCCGCAACTCAAAGCACTGTGTCTGTGCAGGCACGCGGCGCGATTTGGTCTTCTGCGCATGCACAATTTAGCGCTTCTGCACATGCGTGAGCGGCGAAACCTGGAAGTAACCCATTCCGGTACTTCTGGGTTGCCACGGGACGCAAGATGAAAACATGCAACCTGAAGTAGATGTAACATGAGGTATGACTGTATTTGAATAAATGTTGTAAAGGCTTGAAGGTCATTCAGAGTGGTTTTTCTTGTTCTGCCACTTTGAATATTAATTCAACTCTTTATCAGCAATTTCATTTTATGTATGGAGACTTTTAAAAAGAAGCCATTGTGACAAGCCCAGGGAACTGGAAGAATTTGCTTTTGGGTTAAGAGCTGTTTGTAGACTACATTGGCGGTCATGCTTCACCTGTGAGAAGATTTGTGAACTCCTTAATGGAACTGGGTGGAATAATTCTGGAAATCCTGAGAAAGAATTCCCAATATAGGACAGATTTTCTAAGGCAGGTCAGCAAAGTGACACATGCCTCAGAGTTTTATAATGCACGAGGCTGTAGCTCCTTTATCAAGAGTTCGCATTGCTCATTCAACAAGACTAGAGGCCCAGCTTGGAGCAGGGGACAGAGTGAGGCTGGGGAATGTAGACTGACTTGCTACATCATCCCATATTACCTGTAGCTAATCATCTTCAAATGTGAGTTTGATCTAATAAAAATTCCTCTTTCCAGAGTCTTGCTGACCAGCAGGTAGACATCATGTATGACTATGAGTTGCTGCCCAACCGGAAGCCCAAGTTCCTGGCCCAGACAGCTGCACATATAGCTGGTGCTGCTTACTACTACCAGAGGAAAGATGTGCAACAAGATCCCTGGGGAGAGAAGGTGAGATTTAAATTGGAGCAGGAGAAGCAGCAGAGGGGTGCTTGTTTCTTGGAGAGCCATTGATAAACTGTGACTTTCTTCTTTTTCAGAAGATTTAGTGTGTTTTCTAAATGTTTTATTGGGTGACTTCTTTCTCTCTGTCTGTGATGTACGATGATCAGGAACGCACCCTCTCCTTGCATTGACCCAATACAGATCCATATTTTCCATCAAGAAAATGCACATTCTTCTCTTAGATAAATTATGAAATTAAGGGGTTTGTTTTACTTTATTATAGTGTTCATATTATTTTTTTCATTATACTTTGTCAAGGACTTGGATGGCAGAAGACATAAGAATAGTCTTCTCTAGCATTGGTTGAAGCTACAGGAAGGCAGCCGTTAGTGTGTCATGTTTTGCTTGCTAAGGTTTGAGATTTCAGCAAATGTTTCCTTCACGGTTTGAAAACGTTCCCCCACATGTTTAAGCTTCATAGCTGCATTTTTTAAAAGTTGCTTTTAAAAGTAATTTTAGGTAGGCTGCCCAATGTTAGATCCACTGAAATGAACGTACTGGTACATTACTAATTAATTTCAGGGTGGCCTACTTTGAGTAGTAAATTATTCCCTGGCATTTCAGTGACAGTGTCAGTTGTCTGCAATAATTAGTGAGATGCCCTAAAGCAGGGCTGAGGAACCTGTGACCCTTCAGATATTGCCAGTCTGCAACCAGTAATCCCTGCCCATTGGCTGTGATGGCTCAGGCTGGCCAGAATTGGAGTTGAACAACATCTGGAGGGCCACAAGTTTTCCATCCTAAAGGATTTCCTACCAAGGATACTTTCCACTTTCTAATATTATAAAGCACTGTAGCAAAACATTTTGGAAGGGCTGTAGTTTGATGGTAAAGTACATGCTTTTTGTACAGAAAGTAAACAAAACAGTTCATTCAGTGGGCTGCCTTCCAAGTAAACATGCGTAGGGTTGGGCAGCCTGTAAGTTAACAAGTCACTCTTTGTTTACTTATCTAACTGGCTATGCAATCAGGTGCCTAGAATGGAAACTAAGGCTGAAATCTTATGAGCTCAATGGGACTTCTGAGTAGACATGTACTGTATGGGATTGCACTTAGATGCTTTGTTACACACACACACACACACACACACACACACACACACACACACTGGATGGCCATCTGTCATAGATGCTTTAGTTGAACGAGATGACCCTCAGGGCCCCTTCCAACTGTACAGTTCTATGATTCTATGAAGATAGTATGTTGGTTGTGATGTTTTCACCTCTGGCTTACTCTTTTTGACATTATTTCAAAAACCTGCAAACCCCATTGGATGTTGTTGGCATCCATCTATCTTGAGAAACAATGTAGTGCGCCTCTGGGGGTGAAGTCAAACTGCTGCATTAGTAGCACCAAAGTGACTTCCCTGGGGCACAAGCCTGGGCAGTGTATATGGAGGTCCCGGGCTGCCCAGACAACAAGACCCCCCTCTCAGTCCTGTTCATGTTGTCCAAAAGAAAGCAGAGCAATACATTTGGCATCAGCTTGGCTGCAGGAGTTGCCAGAAGCTCCTTGGAGACCCAACTCTGGATTTGTGTAGGGTTTACTCTTTAGCCTTTTCTTCTCCAGAAGGTATCCCACAAGGCAGCAGAGGTTTAGGACCAGAGTTTTCTTTCTCCTAGATGAACTACCTTTTCAGGTTGACAAGGCCCTCACTTCCCTCTACAGTACATGCAGAAACTGCCTTCTTGACCATTGGCCCCACTATTGGTCTCATCCACTCAATCTACTGGAGCCTGTCTTTGCATGCAAGGGAAGTCCCTAACTCACCAAGGTTTTGAGTCCTACCAGCTACCCTCACCTGGTTTAGCCAGCCAGTCGAAGCCGTTTTCCAGGGTGCAGGAAAATTGTGTCTGTGCACCATGAGAATATCTGTTTCTCTCAAATCACTTCAAATTCCCTTCTAAACTATCTCCAGCCTACCTGAAGGTTGTGCCTCCATGATCACAAGAGCCTGAGGTGTAGCAGGAATGGAACCAGCCCAATTCCTATTAAGTGATGGCAACATCTCTCCCCCCCCCCCATTAATTTATTTGCTTCTCTGTCACACATTCTCCACTAATACATAAACTACATACATAATACGTAATACCAACTACATAAACTCATACAGTCCAAACAAAACAAATACATCCTTTCATGTACTTCCCTTCCACTTCTTCCATGTTTCTTATCTCTTTATCTCTTGCTATATAACTTACACTGCTGAACTACTCACATCCTGCTAGGTGCCAACCTTACACCTTGAAGAGAAGCTTTCTTAAATCTTTTGGTTATATTTGTCTATTACAATATCTTTCCTTTTTCCCTGTGAGATGTAAAGATTGGCAGGCCTTTTAATTCACTCAGCCTTTTTTCTTTCTCCAGAAGATCTATGGTGTCTGCATCCACCCACGTTACGGAGGCTGGTTTGCTATCCGGGCTCTCCTGCTTTTTCCGGGTGTTGAGGTGCCTTCCTTGCTGCAGAAAACTCCTGTTGATTGTGTGACAACAGATGAAAAGAGAATAGAACTTCTGGAGAAGTTCAATTTCCACTGGCGGGACTGGAGCTATCGGGACATTACTGAAGTGAAGGAGAAGTACTCGGAGGAGCAGAAAACGTACTTTGCAACTCCTCCAGCTGAACGGTTAAAATTGCTGACTCTGCAAGGAGGATTGCAAAGGAATGCAATACACTGAGTTGCTGTTCTCCTGGCCCAAGGGGGACTCATAGCCTATTCTACTGTGTCCACTTCCATGGAGGGAGAGATGGGTGGTTTACTTGGGGACCCAAGCTGTAGTCCTGGACACACTTGCTAGGAAGTAAGACCCACTGAACACAGTGGGGCTTTGTTACAAGTAAATATGTCTAGGGTTGCACTGTAATATTAGTTACACCAAAAGCCTGTGAATCCAGGTGTAGGAACACTAGTCGTCCGTCCCCCCATTATTATTTTTTAGAGGAATGTAATTTTTAAAACATGCTGCTGTATTTAATTTGAGGGTATTTAAAAATGCTTTTTGTGTGAGAGAGACTCTGGTAGGTGGTGTAATTATTTTTCTTCGGTTATGAATTCAGGAGAGATATTTTTGTAAATGGCACTTTTGCTGTCCTGTGGGAGAGATGTCCCACGAAGCAGTTGTTTTTGAAGGATGGTGTTGTCTAGTCCTTATCATAGTCTAAAGTCATTTCAGCTTCTCAACATTGCTTCTGAGGCTTTGAAATCATTTTGTTCCAGTGGTTTCTTTTTTACTTTCCACTCCTGTTCAAAGGACTAGAGATGTTGTCTAACTTGTGTTGCGAAGGGGAGGTGATAGTAAAACTGAAGGAAGCAAAACTGTCTGGCTCTTTCTGTTACGAGTCTTTTGTGGCATTCATGCTATGTTGCAAGGCTTTGGGGGGAAAGTACATAGCCTTAAATTAGAATATTAGACTAGGAATGCAAGTGTCACCCAGTCCATTCCTGCCAACACCTACAATATCTACTGTTGGCATAGGTGAAGTGCTAGGTATTTCTGTAAGGGTTATTGACAAGAACTTGCCTTGCTGTTCACATATTTTAAGAATTGGCACACGCTAATAATTCATAATGTGCCTGACATTTTCAATACCCTCAGCAAAGGTTAAAGACTGTATCCAAAAACACATGCAGTGTTTTTCTCATGCAATGGAAAATCGCCTTCCTTTCCCAGCACACACCCCAGATTCTGTTCTGGAGGGTATCCCAACTCTCTGGAGCAGATTTTAAGGGTTTTTTAGGGGGTTGCACAGGAGAGGAGGGGGAAATTTCATTGTACAAGTGGAAGTCTGTTGACACAGCGAAACAACAACATGGATGCAACCCCAAGAAAACAATCCAGTCTACCTGTAAGCTTACTATACAAAAGGTAGAATGGGATAAAGAGAGTACATTGAGGTATTCTGCATAGGTTACAAAAATGTTTCATGACCTGGCGCAATGGCTGCTGAGACAGTTCTGGGAGAAGAGTCTGTAGTCCTGAGTTGAGCACAGGTTGGGGAATCTCCAGTTCAACATATGGCCCCAAGTCATGCTGCCTGGTATTTTGAATTTTGGATGCTGAAATTGCCCGATGTGTGGTATAAAATCACTCATGCCCTACTCAGAATCTCCCACCTGCAAATGGAATCTCGCTCCTTATTCTGTGCTTGAGCAGCTGAGGAATAGGCTGGCTAGACTGTTTAGTGAAGGCCAACCACATTTCCCTCCTCCTCCTCCTCCTCCTCCTCCTTCTTCTTTCTCTCTCTCTGTCTCTCTCCCTCCCTCACACACAGCAGGTCATGTTACATTGGGAACTTATGCATGGCATGCAAGGCTCACAAAAAAATTAACATGCGAACAATCTGAAGTTGTATTCTGTTGGTGAGTTTGGGCTCATCGTGTCTGTGTGTGTCAGCTGTTTGCCTCCATGGGGCTCAAATCCGTCTGCATTAAGCAGCAAATTGGGTGTTTAATCCCTACTTGCTGGCACCATAAGCAGTTGGGATTGGAAGGCCACAACTGAAAGATTTGTGTCTGCAGTCTGCCAGGCTATGGCTAATTTCTAAATCCCTCACAGCCTCCTCTCCACATGTCTTCCCTTTGCCATTCAGCGGCTAAGGCTGAGTGGCTGTTGTGGAGTCTAGAGAAGAAGAAGAAGAAGAAGAGTTTGGATTTGATATCCCGCCTTTCACTCCCTTTAAGGAGTCTCAAAGCGGCTAACATTCTCCTTTCCCTTCCTCCCCCACAACAAACACTCTGTGAGGTGAGTGGGGCTGAGAGACTTCAGAGAAGTGTGACTGGCCCAAGGTCACCCAGCAGCTGCATGTGGAGGAGCGGAGACGCGAACCCGGTTCCCCAGATTAGGAGACTACCGCTCTTAACCACTACACCACACTGTTGTGCACAGTACTACCTCTGTATGCAGCTTGCACAGTCAAGCATTTGATGAGCAAGAGAGATTCTGTAGGGAGCACACCAGCTTCCACATCCCAATGATGGAAGGTAGCTGCCATCCAAACAATTAGTGCTCTTATTTGAATCAGTTTCTGATGTACAGCATGGGGCCATGTCCTGATTTTACTCTAGAAGTGGATAGGTTGTAACTACACTTGGCCAGTATTTAATTTAAATTTGGGCCTTGGGCAAAACTGTGGACTATTGCTACCCAACTTTGTTAAATGTTTTGTAAAGTGAAATTATACTAGGTTATGTGCATATTATCTGAACATCCTAGGGCAACCTTCCCCATCTTGACCCCACCCCCTGGCTGATGTTTTTGGACTTCAACTCCCATCAGTCCCAGCTAGCACAGCCAATGGTTAGGGATGATGGGAGCTGTAGTTCAATACCTGGAGGGCACCAGTTTGGCGAAGACTAGCTGGCTGGGTGTCAAAGGAGCTTTCTTGTCCACCTTTTCTCTGCTCTACACTGAAATTTGCCAAGCCCAGTAAGGCTAACAAATAACCTCCCCACGCTTGTCAGCAAAGGCCACCTGTACTGCAACGTGGGGAAACTATGATAAAATATTTTATATGTTTGTAATTATTATTACTCCAGGTTATAACTAGAAAATGGAGCATTGAACAGGCTCAGAATCAGAAGAATAAAATGTAATTGGAAAACCGCTCTATTTAAAAAACACAAAAATGCCATTAAGAAGACAATAATAATCAGCTGAGTAGTATTAAATGTCCTGTTCCAAGAATGGATAACATAAATTATGTCCCCGTCTTTCTTTTTCCCTTCCCCCATCCCACAACAGCTGTGGGGTACCCAGCATTAAGCTGGAGAATTGCCAAGTCAGATTGCTTTGGAAATATCTCCCTAGTGGCAGCAGCTGAGCTCAAGAAAATGGGCAAGTGGAAATGAACAGAGCAGTAAAACCATAGACCTGAATTCCCCCATATTAAATGCTTTCCCCCACCCTCAGGGCTGGACTCTGTTTGAGGCAAGATGAGCCTCAAAACTCTGGTGGTGAACCCAGAAGGGAGGGCAGCAGAATGAGCACATGCCCCCACCATCCAGCCCACCACTGTGGCCACTACTGCTGGGTGGCCACCATTGGTGCCAGTACCATTGGTGCCTACTATCTATGTCACTCCCAGCACACATCCTGCTGCTGTTGTCCCCCTGCAACCATAGGCCAGTCCCGAGAAAGGAGATCGTCAACTGAACATCAGGATTAACTTTTTGACAGTAAGAACTGTTCAGCAGTGGAATGGACTCCCCTGGAAGGTGGTGGACTCTCCTTCGCTTAAGCAGAGGCGGGATGGCCATCTGTCATGGATGCTATGGTTGAGATTCCTGCATTGCAGGAGGTTGGACTAGCTGACCCTTGGGGTCCCTTCTATGACCCCCCAAAGAGAGACACTGAGAGAACTGGCTACGTATGCTCTCTGCTGTTGATGAGCAGGAGGGTCCCATAAGTTCCTGCCACTGTTATGGGGAAAAAACTAAGCAGTTTTTGCTACCACAGCAAAGCAGCCACAGGTCCTTGCTCCACCTCCATCTCTCCACACATAAGGCAGCTTTCTTCCTCAAAGCATGGCACTGTGGGTTGAGAAGGCTACAGAGATGAGATCTGCAAGTCCACCTGTTGTCACTTGGCTGCTGTGGCAAAAGCTCTTTAAGCAGGAAACTATTACACTTTAAGCAGTGCTTGCCATGGCAAATCAGAAGCACGGACAACATTCGTACAGTGTGCCTTTCCAGGGCCCACTTGCCCCACAATGCCTCACTCTGAATAAGGACCCTGAATAAGGATCATTCCTGAGAGAAAAGCATTGTGCAGTAAGTGATAGCAGCCACACAGGATGGTGGAGGAGGGGAAAGGCCATGTTGATCATTTACCACCATGCTGTACACTGAAACTAGCTTGAAATGATGAAGGAACAATTCTGGAAAGCTAATTTGGAGTGTCCTGTTTACTCATAGTTTTTGCTTGATTTATTCATGCTCTTTCAGTCTGGCAAAAATGTTTCCCATGTTATTTTAGTATTTCTAATTAACTAGAGTGAACATGAATGATTAGGGGATGTGTGGTTGGGGCTTCTTTTTGCTGAACTCAGCATTGCTTTCAGCCAAGGCCAGCTGGGCCAGAAGCCTGCTCTCTGGGGTCAATGAGTAACATTTTGGATCTCAACCCCCTTATTAGCATTTCCTCCAGAGGAGAGGAAAAGGCAGTAATTCTTTCTGCAGTAACCCAGGCTTCACATGCCAATATCTTGATATTTGTCAGGGCATAAAATTGTTGGCATTCAGAGCAAATGTATTTGTAACAGAAATATGAAGTAATGTGTTGGATGAGCCTCCTTCTGCGTTGGATGGTTGGTCTTTTGCTTTCCATGTGGGTACCAGGTTTGAAAGGAAGTCTAGTCATTTACAGTTCGGACTGAAGCTGTTCTGGCTGAAGATTCAAAGACAGAACAATTACTTATAGTTCTTTGTAAGACACCTTCATGGAAGATTGAAAACTAAAAAGAAAGCAGAAACCTGGGGGTCAAGTGGCAGCGCGTTTGTGCATAATTTGCCAGCTTTTCAGTTAATACAAATATAGAGACGTCTCAGCCAACTATGGTTGGTGTAAAGCTTACACTGTAAACCATGGTTTCCCATTAGATCTGAATCCAAAATGTGGACCTCATAGCCTCTTCACAATGTGACCCTGGCTTCTCACACAAAGGCCTGCCTGTCCAGTTATGTGCTGCTGTCAAACTGTACAAAGTTAGGAGCTTTATATCTATCTACCCATCAGGCTGCCACTCACAAAGGTTAGATAATATACGGGAGGCGATTATTATGTACAAACCTTTTGAATTTGTTTAAGGTATAAATATTGCCTATACGCAACATGGTTACATTTTGGGTTTTAAAGGGAAGTTCAATAAACTTGGTTATTTTGCCATCTCAGATTCAGTAGTGTGGAGCACCACTTATTTCACTGCAAGAAAAGGATGTCCTCTCCTTAGGCACTATTTGCCAGCCCTTTGCATCTACTATATATTTTGGAAAGTGATTTGTCCATCTATCTGTCCCTCTGTTCTTCATAGGTTCAGCTGCCTCATGAGATACCATTGCCATACTTGGCATGAGGGTTCCTGAGCTGCGGGTGGAGAGGGGGACAGTTGTTGTTGGAGTTTGGATTCTGGTTGCCATTTTGAATCAAGCTGGAGAACCCAAATGTTACTTGGGAATGACTTTGCCCAATTTTTTTGTGTAGGTTCAGCTACCTCTCAAGATCTCACCACCAAACTCAGAATGAAGGGTGGCAGACTTTGTCACTGTTTGGATGCCGAGTGCCATCTTGATTCAAATCAAATTTGGCATGACTTTTTTGGCATAGTTTTGGCTGCCTCCAGATATCGCTGCCAAACTTGGCATGAGGTTTCCTGAAGTGGGGACAGCAGTCTTCATTGACATTCAGATGCCAGACACCATTTTGATTCAGACCAAACCCTAGAAGGGTGTGTGTTTGGTGCCATTGGTCTCCACCATGCAAGCAAATCTTGCTTGCTGAGATTTGGTTAATAAGACATTTTGCAATTGGAAAAGGTTCTCTGTATACTTGGGTCGCTCCTTGTCAGTCAGCTTTTCTCTTCAGTCAAGGACACTATGCATATATATACTGAAGCTCCTGTTCTCTGCAGGGACGGAGAAAAGCTGAGAACGTTCATTATACTTTACAATCCTTGCTTAAACTGCCTGCTTTCTGAACAAAAAGAAAGTCTTGTCTCTTTTAAAATAATAATTAAGTACTGAATATAACATGTGCAAAAAGGAGCAGGGAATCAGAGTGGGGGGACAGAACCCAACTCAGTTTTTACCTGCAGCATCTCATGGTGTTCAGCGTCAAATGGCTGAAAAATCTACTAGCCTAGATAGTTTGATCCTTTGCAATAGACATCTATCTCCACAGCTACTGCAGCTTTCAGGAGCTGAATGAAAGACTTGAGTACAGTATTTTCCACGTTCCTCTTGAAACGGACTTTTAACATTGCTTTCCTCGTTTCTACCACAAGAGGGACCTGGAATATAAAACAGCATTAATTAAAATCAAGCCTATTTCATTTCACTGCAGGAAAGAAAACAAAGCCTCCACCTGGAACACCCGAGAGGCCATGGGTTGGTTAGCCTTTTGTCCTTTCCAACCTGACATCAGCCAGTCATGGAGAACAGAAAATGCGGAAGTGTTCAGAGTGGATCAGAGGGTGGTGGTGGGGTATTAAATTCAAGGCAAAAGAGTTCACTTGGGCACTCTTAAAAGGACTGATTTGTAAAATTAGTATAGTTGTGCACCAAGTTTGGAATTGATTGCTGTTATTTTACTATCAAATGAATAAAATATTCTTTTAAAAAAGGATATGAACCCGGGTGTCACCTGTGAATGTTTTCCATGTTTCCAACATGGGAAGCATCCTCTTTCTATTTTATTACATGGAACTAGGAGCTTAAGTTTAATTAATTCCTTATGTAAACCTTTGGGCAAGGTTCTAGACATTCTAGATGCCCAGATATAGAGAGGCTTGTTAGGTCAACATCTACAGAGGTAGTAAGCGCCCTTTATTCTTTCCTGCCACATGGGTTCTGCTTATGAGCAGCTCCCGTACAGCTGGGAAAACATTTAAATAGTGCAATCGCAAGGGCAAAAGACGATTGGAAATGACCAACAACTGGGAGGTTAGATAATTTAAATGTTCTCCCAGCTGCATGTTGTGGATAAACAATTTCCATGTGGCGGGAAGAATGTCTAAAAGAATGCAATAACTTGGTGCTTTTAACCTTGATCGAAATACGTATGATACCTGTTTCAAACGAACAGACAATAATAGATGTTTCTTGGATAGAAAGAGTGACCTGAATAAAATAATTTTGGACGCTCTGTTCTCAAACCTCATAATTTAGCACTTGCATGTTTCCTTCAGTGATGCAGTGAGCAAGGGGGGAGGTGGAATGTGTGTGTGAGAGAAAGAGAGACTTCAGACCGGGAAACTAGCCAGGTGGAATAGGGCTGAATCCTCGCTATGCCACAGCCCTGATGAGATCAAATCATGGATTTCACACATCTTTTCAAGTTTGACCTTTATAACCAGAGGCTAACCAGGACTTTAGATGTTTGGATGGTTGCAATTAGCAAACTCTCATTAAATGTTTTGCGCAGGTGGACCAGAGAAGTTAACTTTTCAGAGTGTGAACGTAGATTTCTATGGTCATGAGGGAAATGCCTACAAATGTGAGGGGTAGAGTCTATGAAAGGCACAGGATTTGCTCTGTTCAATTTGTAAGTGTGAAATTAAATCAGTATCTGTAAATATTCCTAATTTTCATAATTTATTTTAGTAACCCAAGTGAAGTATTTGTGCCAAAATGGCACTAGCATGACTGCTTATCCCTTTATAAAATTGTTCATGTACAATGAGGGCATAAATAATTGTAATACTAATTAAACTATTAATATAAAATGTAGCAGCCACATTATCCATATGGAGAAAGTGCTTGTTTGCCTAAGGGTCTGCCTTACTTCATATTCTATTCAGTGATCTTATGTCAGCTTCCTCTTTTTCCTAAACCCAAATCTACACTCAATTATTTGCCCTAGCTGTCCTAGTAAGCTCCCATGTTCACACTTGGGAGTAAGCCCCATTGAATTAAATGCAAGTTGTTTCTGAAGAAACATGCATAGGATTGCACTGTTTGGTTCTGGGTGTTGCTACACTGTGGTACTGAGTAAGAATTCTGTAAACACTTTTACTTGGTCATTAGCTTTATGGCTCACAATCATGAAGCATTTAGTGATCTGTAAAAACATGGGACACCATCCAACCCAAAGGTAAGCAGCTTTAAAGCCCATTGATTTGAAAGGGAGAGTTAAGTTTTCTCATTAATATCAATGGGGTTTTAAAAACTACTTAACAGAAGCATTCTCATAATTAGAGCGAGCACCAGCATCTGGCATCCTAGGTGCAGTTTTCAGGGCCCACCGCAGCTAATGCTGTCCACCAGCCCCACACAAATACATGACTGATTTAGGGGAGCCACAATTTTA